TTATTAAAAACAGGGTTTTTACCCACTGTTTCTTCTAACCCTAGGTTACTAACTAATCAATCAACAGGTATTTATTAGACACATTTCTCCTACTTTGTCCTTTTATAATACGGTCTTTGGAGTCAAATCAAGACCACTCTCCTCTTTTCTAAGACTGATTTAGGATTTCCTCGTGTCCTGTTACCAGCAAGACATTATGCAAATGTAGGAAGGAAAAAAACCTCGAATTGCGGTCTCTGACGCTGATGCTTAGGTAAGTGGTAGCTGATTATTCTCCTGCCCTTCCCAGGCAAGACCGAATTAGACTGCTGTTACCATACTAATGTCTTCTCTGCTCTCTTTAGATGGTCACCAATTCCTTCTCTCATTGCGGGATAGCTGGTTCGCCCACCCCCACTCCACCCTGCCCCAATCTTTCTTTAATCAACTCCATCAGTTTTCTTTCCATCCACCTCAAGCAAATGAGGAAAAATGAAAGTTTCTAAGAGTTTAAACGAATAAAGTTCAGGAGAAGCCCAATAATGATTCAGCATCGTTAACTATCAACAAAATCTGGGGCAACAACTGGGCTCTATGTTGGTCTCCACTTCTCCTCATCCTCACCACACAAAGATTAATGGAGGAATGATTTTCATTTCCACACCATGCTCTCATTGTGTGTGTATTTGAATGGTAATTACAACTCAATTGTTGCTAAAATCCACACTGTTGTCTTCTCATTGACAAGAAAATGTAGGGAGGTTCTCGAAAGGGAAGTTTATTAATAATGAAAATGGCACAATTATATACATGAGAAAAGAAAGACCCTTTTATATACATGAAGACTTTTAACTTTTTATTTCTAATTAGCTAGTACTAAGACTAGAACATTTCAGGAAAACAGTAAAGTAACGTGAACTTATCTGATCCATACCTTAGGTAAAATGTCACAAATACGATGAAAACGACAAGTCCTTCATTACCCATACTCCATACTGAACATATATCGTGTATGTACATGATCGCTTCAGAATCATCACATAGTCCTGATATATAAATAATTAGACCTTTATTTTCTAATATTATAGTTACTTTTTTCCTATTTATGCCCTTAATCTCTAAAAATGTAATTAAATATAAGTGAGAGGAAAAAAAGCCAGGATGAGGAATCATTTCACCTAGGCTGTAGCTGTAACTGTGTGGCTGAGGGGAGTGTTTCCACCTGTGTCTTTCTATTCTGAGGGGAGTGGTCTACCCTGGGTCTTTATTAACTCACAGAAGTAGTGCAATGTTTTACGAAATACACAAGTCAGGGAAATTTCCAGGCAGATTCTTGAAATCATCTATTACTTTCTGGTCCCCTCCCACTTTTCCACCTCCAATCAGGATCTGTTGTGGAACACAATGCAATTGATCTGAGGAATGTGACCTTCACACCATTTTTCTGCATTTATTACACACTTGGGAATAGAATGAGCTAGGATCCATGACTCACTGCAGCTGGATTACAAACGAGGAAGGCTGGCCCCACCCGTTCCTACTGGGAATTATTAGAAACATCTTAGAAAAAAAAATGACCCATATTTTTCTTGGCTAAAATATCTCAATTTAATAAAGATAAATTATTCTCCTAAATCAGCTGTTTCCTTATGGAATAAAGTTGTTGCCTTCTCTTCCCATTTCAAAGTGAAAATTCAATTTACAGGCTGATGGATGTCAAAGTATCCATTATTGAAAACGCGGAAATGACACAAAGATACCAGCTGCCTATAAATCATAAAATAGAAGGCAGACCTAGAAAACAAGCATGCAAATGAATAACTAAATCAGGTATCACATTTGAGGAGCATATTTTTGGAGGCTACAAAGAATATTTGTGCAGTTTCCTTCCTTTTGTCAGAAGTAATATGAAGTCAGGGTTGTTCAACTACATGACAATTCACTGTGGTCAAAAAGCAGGGGATGGGGAGCAGCCAAGCCCTGGTGACCAGAAACCGCAGGAAAAACGAAGAAGAGGGGGCAATAAAATCAGGTAAATCGCATTTGTTTTATTAGGTAAGTAATGGGACTTCAGGGCACAAAACGTGATCTAATACCCTTAAATCACTGCCATGGTGGAAATGGAGTCCTATTTAGTTATCAAATAAATCCTCCTTTATCCAGAACCCATGAAAATAAGAATCGTGGAGGTTCACTCAATTATAAAGGCTACATCTACAAGACTCTAAAGCATCTCATATACCCCCCAAAAAAGTTAGTTATTTACCACGCACTTTTAGTGCTAACTGCATTTTATTGTTTTTAAATAAGGTGATAGTTTTATTAAATATTATATTGCTAAGTTAATGAGAATGTCCTAATAATCAGATCATTTCATTCCTCAATCACACAGCCTAATACTCTTCAATGACTACCCGCCGTTAAATCACCTTGGGGAAAGCTCTTTCAAAAAGAAGCTCTGTTGGGGTAGTCTGTCCGATGGGTAGCCCTTTTAGCCCTTTAAATTTGCACTTCAGTGGATCTTCCCTGCGGAATCTGCCTGCTCCATGTTTCTCATTGGGGTTCAGCTGTACCAGAGCCAGGGTGAGAGTCTTGTTCCTGAACTGAGAGCACAGGAGTTCCTTTCCTCTTCCATTTAGCAGGTGTGGAGCAGACACTCATGTAGAGCTAACAACTCTGCTCTGGCATGAAAAGGTCATATAAAAGGAAATCAGAGACAGACACGTGTCAGAATTCTCAAAATCCCCCGTCACTGTTTGGCTTCCGGAAAACAACAATCCTCCTTTGGCTCAGTTGGTGCTTCTTCTAAGTGTTGCACATGGTGACCTCCCTTTATGTCCATCTAGAACTCTGCCAGAAAGCAGACATGCAAAAGGTTGCATTCTAGGGTTCATCTGTGATAAAAACAAATTTTCTTTTTCATCTAACACAAGTAAGTTTAGGAAAAAAAGTTTAAAATCTTAAAGAGAAATCTGCGGAAGTCTTACAAATAAAATTCAGCATTTAGTAGTGACAAATGTCATTAACATTTATAATGCTTTAAAAACAATTATCAATTACCTTCCAAATGGGCCCAGTGGAAAATGTCCCAGCAGTGGCTTGTCCCTATGCTGAACCTACAGAGAATCTGTGATGTGAGTAAGGAATGGAAGACAATACTGACGTAAGGAAAAGACCTACCTACCTACCTACCTACCTACACACACACACACACACACACACACACACACAATCCGTGTTACCCATACATACTTTGCAGAATACCTGGATATCCTCAAGGCTTTCAATAGCTTTACTGTGGCATGTACTCAGCCCAGAGATTTATGGTGTCCTCATAATGAGTGAAATTGGCAGTCATCAAATTGAAAAAAAAAAATAAGTGAACCAAGTATTTTATCTTATGGTCAATCTACCCTTGATTAGTTATATCTGGTCAGAAAGAAATCAAAATGTTCAAGATCGTTTTGGGCTAACATAAAGACATCTGACATAAAATACCTGCGTCAATAACAACCCATTTGCATATGCAACTTAATATTAGTAATGATGATTATTTGGTTCTCTCCTTGCCCCCTCCATAGCTACCCATTCAAAAAGTACTAGACAGAAGAAAACTCCCATTTTCAGTTAAAATTTATATAAGATGTACGTAGACTTTTCCTACCTATAAAATTTTTTAAAATTTAACTGCAATAAAACTGTCATGTTTTATATAAACAGAAATTAATTTAGACATGAGATATTACACAAAGCAGAAGCGATACAAACAAGCTAACTTATAACATATGAGGTAGTTAAGTGCTGTTTTCCAAATTAATATACCAGGAACTAGAGTGGCCAGGATTCGCCTAGGACCTCTTCAGATATCAGAAGCAGAGTCAGGGAACCCATTAGTTCTGACTCGGTTCACTCATCAATCAGCAAAATGTATTCTCAGCCCTGTGGGTTTGACCCGACACCCACGGCTTCTCTTCTCCGTCCATGTGATTAAATTCGTCTTCAGTGTAACGGGAGCCCTGTAAACTTTCTACATATGTACTGTCCTTGACAACTAAAAAAATAGGATATTAACATACTTAACAATAATGTGGTCTTGATTAATATGCTCAAGAAATTCAAAACTCAGGTAGAAGCATAAAGTACACACCTAAATCTATACTGCAGCAAAAAGATTGCTTTTTCTTCAACAGCTTGATCAAAAAAAACTCATATTTTATTTAGATGAATGTCTGCCTATAAACTATATTAAAACTACTTCAAATCTTCTCCTTCCAGCTGACAATAACAAACATGCTACAGAATAATCACTTGGCCTCCTTCTGGAAGTCTCACCTCATCTCTCTGCTGGGCAGCCTGAGGCACAGGCATTAAGAGAAGCCCTCAGAGACCCCGAAGCAACAGCAAGTGCAGCCCCAACTCCCAGGCCCGGCTTTTTTCTTGCAGAATACTTTCTAGAAATCATAAAGTTTTGAATTTCTTTAAATACAGCTTTTGGTCTTTGTAGGTATAAAAATTGTCACATCTCTTACTACATTCTGAAATTTTAGGCTACAAAAAAAAATTTGTCCCCCAAATTAATTTTTTTAATAGAAAACTCTTCTTCCAACAGAGTTCAAAGTCCAGGTTAATTACATGACATAGGTAACAAGTGATCTCCGTCTTCTCTAGGCTTCTAATCAGTTTCAAAATAGAAGTTTTGGTTAAAGCTCTTCCCTGCCATGAAAAAAACAAAAAGAAATTAATTGAAAAAGCAAGGACACACTGAAATGCACTTTTGTTGCAATATATCATTGTCAAGCTATGTTCCTAAAATCACCAATACTTTCTGTTTTCTTTCTTTGCAGGAAAGTCCTGCGCTTTGCTAAGTTTAAAAAAAAATCCACACTACAAAGACCAGGTAGCGCTTTTACTGAATCCTATATCACGTCCATTAACATTTTCTTGGGCTACTGGTAGATGAAAACTCTGAGACTGAGTGAAACTGAAAACATGGTATGGATGATGTGGCTAACATTTTTCAATGCCATGTTCCCATGATGAGCAACCCCCTTAAGGTTACAGTGTCTGTGTGGACTCTCTTTTGTTTCCCTGGATCTTCTTGTTTAAATCTTCTTTGTTACATGGATTTTTTTTTTGTTTATTTTAATGCCAGGCGGTTTACAAGAAGAAACTGAAGCATGTAGTCAATCTGTCTGTCATCAGTTAGGCTCTCCTGAATCCTTTCTTTGGATGTCTTAGCCTCAATGAGATGCATTTTTAATTCAGGTAACACATTCAGGCAGGTGGCTCTGAGGGGCTTATGAAGGGTCTTAGGAAAGATAAAAACATCAGCCATGTTCTTTCTACTGGATGCCACTGAAGTGACGCCACAGGCCATTTGCTGGCTGGAGACACAGGGATGAGTGCATGTCCTAGTTTAGAAGGCCGACTCCCAGTAGTATTGCTGTGACAGCACTCAGCAAGGTTAGCAGCACCTCCAGGAGGGCCAAGTCAGATGCTCAGCGAGTTTTAAATGAGTCTCCACCATGCACATGGAATTAGAAAGGCATCTTCTTCAGTTTCCACAGGTGTCAATTCGTCCCTTCCTATCAGAGAGGAACCATAAGTGAGGGGCTGCCTCTCAGAGAAAAGAGATTTGGAGGAAAGGGGCAGAGGCTACAAATAGAGCCAGGTGTTATCCTGACCGTTCATCAATTTCTCCTGCAAGCATTGCTTCTTTTTTTTGTTTGTTTTTTTTTTGTGAGGGAGATCAACCCTGAGCTAACATCCGTGCTAATCCTCCTCTTTTTGCTGAGGAAGACCGGCTCTGAGCTAACATCTATTGCCAATCCTCTTCCTTTTTTTCTTCCCCAAAGCCCCAGTAGATAGTTGTATGTCATAGTTGCACATCCTTCTAGTTGCTGTATGTGGGACGCGGCCTCAGCATGGCCTGACAAGTAGTGCCTCGGTGTGCGCCCGGGATCTGAACCCCGGGCCGCCAGTAGCGGAGCGTGCGCACTTAACCGCTAAGCCACCGGGCCGGCCCACAAGCATTGCTTCTTAATGATGAATTGCTCTGGTTTTCTCTTCTAAAAGCCAGGTGCAGATATGTGGCCTGGGTGGGCCCCATCCATGAGGAAGCACCTTTGTGAGAGCACCAATAGGAACAAACATCAAAGTAAATTATAACCCCACCCACTACATTCAATTAATGCCCATAATGGTCTCTTTACAAGACAGTTTATTTTTGTAACCTAAGTCTGCTTATGGATCCTGGGAAACAAAGGAAAAAAAACCACAGACACTTGCCCAAAATGCATGCTGAGAAAAGCAAATGGAAACAGACAGAATGAAATGTAAGATGAACTTGATAGAGGGAGGAGATACACTTTAATGAGATTTGTGTAATTCAAAGCACACTGAAAAGAAATCTATAGAGATGAAAGAGGAAGGATATGTTGAAATACGTGAGGATTTATGGCTACTCAAGTGCTTTTCATAGAAACTGTCTACCAAAAATATTTCACAGCATCAGATCGTGGGTGACATCTGTGGCATAAGAGAGAGAGCATGACAGCCCAGGGAGCTCTGGGCCAGGACGCATAGTGTCTTTAAATCTCTGTCATTTGCTATCATGGTGATCTTGAGTGAGTCCCTTCATCTTTCTGAGGCCTCCTTTCCTCATTTACAAAACTTAAATATGCGGCCAGCCTGGTGGCGTAGTGGTTAAGTTGGTGCGCTCCACTTCGGCAGCCTGGGATTCGCAGGCCCGGATCCTGGGCACGGACCTACACACCACTCATCGAGCTATGCTGTGGCAGCGACCCACATACAAAATAGAGGAAGATTGGCACAGATGTTAGCTCAGGGCCAATCTTCCTCACCAAAAAAAAACATTCAATTTATAAAGCCATTATGAGGAATAAGTGAAGTAATCTGTGTGGAAGTGTATTAACTGCAAAGAACTCAACAAATGTTGGTTAACACCAGAACCCAGGTCATGTGGGCAGGAACTGTGTGCCCACGCTGGTGGTGCTACTCTAAGGCAAACTGTTAGGACCTGGGTTAGGGCGCTGTCATGTGCTTACATTTGATGTTGTCTCACAAATGCCGCAAACCTAGGATCACTGGCATATAGTTCCAAAATTCTCATTCTTTCTTGAATTTCCTTTAAAAAGGAAAGAAAGAAAAGAAAAAGAGGCCATACACTGCATTAGAAAAACTTTAACAACCTTTTAAAAGGACGTCTAATTTTCATAAGGAATTGTGGCTTTCTGGATTACCCAGGGGAGAGCTATCCAGAACAATGGCCTTTTCAGAGAAGTGGAAGGTGTGGCTACTACAGGAACCAAACCGCTCTGAGTAAAGGTGTGGCTGTAACATGAACCCCTCTGAGTGAAGGCGTGGCTGTGACACGAACCCCTCTGAGTAAGGGTGTGGCCACGATGTGAACTGCTCTGAATAACTCAGACATACATTTCTAAGGAAGGGAGGGTGGGGAGAGGGGGCACTTACTAATAATGGGAAAAAGAACTACTGGTTGGGGAATAAAGTACAGCTCAGAATTGTATACCCTCTACACACCACATCAACTGGGAGATATCATGAGACAAAAAACTAATCATGAAACCATTTTCACCCATTCTTGAAGCCCATGTACACAGGTGTGTGCACATGTGTGTGTCACACACACACACACACCAGCAGCAGCAGAAAAGCAAAGTTCCCTACCTCTCTGGAAAGCTGGCTGTTGTCATACAGTTGTCTGATTTCCTCCCTGCTCAGACCACCAATCACCTCCCTGCCTGCTGAGCTGCAGAAGGGACGCTGAGGATGGGGTCCCTGGTACTGCTCGAGTCCGGCCATGTGGCTTTCGTACATGGGGTTGGACTTCACAGCATTTTCAATGGATGAGAGGCTGTCAGGCTGCCTGCTGGAGCCATAAAAAGAAAAGGATGGTTGATTCAGGTTCTTCTTCAGATGCTCAACTACTTGGGAGACTATTTACCTAGAGCAAGATTTCTGTTGGGGAAGAAAAAGAGGTGAACTAGATGCAAATAGGGGGAGGTGACTATGAAAACTATCCAGATCAATCTCAAAAATTATTTATCAGGTGTTATCATTATTATCTCTTCAACCACATGGCTAGTGCCCTGTGGAATTGCCCTAAGTCTCATTCATCTTTATTTGCCCCACAGTGCCTGGCACTCAATCAATGTTGATGGGGAAATATGTCTGTCAATAGACAGTACTTCATTAAACGAATATGGCTCCATCTTTCCCAGAGTCAACAAATAAAAATCAGTGTGTAACCACACAGAGAATCTGATCGAAATATAAATACGGAGGGACTGAGCCTCAGTTAAATTCAATTCAGGTCTACAAATATTTACTGTGCATTGATTATGTGCCCAGGACTGGTCTAGATGCTGATGACACAAAGAGTTTGTTGGAATCCCTCTCCAGAATGAGATTACAGTAAAGTCAGACTCAATAAAATTATAAGAACAATGGGGGAAGTAAGTCCTGGGTGCTCCAGGGACCTAGGAGAGACGGCCCTCAGCCAAGCCAGAGGGTGAGGGAAGGGAACCCAGACCTGAAGCAGTAGCTCCTATAGACTAGAAGCATGGAAGCAACGTAAATCAGGGATGGTGATCTCATAACAACCAAAAGGTCCTTGGATTGCTAGTCTAGCAGGCAGAACAGGTTTTCTGTCCTCCATTAATGAAGCTACACTTATCTAATGGAGAACCAGATTTCATTCCTTGTCAGTTTCTTAGCTAGATTTAAAATCTAGCTAATTATCACTGTAATGAGCCAAAGGGGAACAAACTAACAGATCTGGTCCTCACATGAGGGCCTCATTTCATCTCCATCACCCTTCCAACCCCTCCCCCACCAAGAGACAGGTGTTCTGGCCACACCCAATGATGCTGTGGCTTCAGTCGGCCTTCCCTGAAGGCACACGCCTCCCTGACTTTGCTCACGCTCATTCAGCTCGCTGGGAAGTGTCCCACCCACCTGCAGCACACATCTACTCTTCTGTCCAGCTAAATATCATAACCATCATTAAAGCTTCTAAGACTCTCTCCTCCAGGCAGGAGGGCCCCTCAGCATCTTACAGTACTGCTTATGCTTGTGTCCATCTGACACCCTGTGAGGACAGGGACCAGGTTTTTACTCAATTTTACAGCTCTCTCCCCTCCACTTCCATCCTTGTCCAATATTTGCCACATAGTAAGTACTAAATGAATGAATACAAAGAACATTTTATTCCGTCAGAGAATAATTTTCCTTATTTACCTGAAGGGCCTCTTTCTTTCTCTCCTAACACGCTGAGCTTGAAGAGTCCTGACGAGGAAGAAGATGACAGCAGAAGAGATGAGAAGAAGTCCAACCAGGGAGGCGACGGCGATGCCGATCACCCAGGGCTCGGACACAAACTCCTCACAGTGCTCCCCTCGGTACCACCAGTTCTCACCCACCCGGCACCTGTAACGAGCAGTGACCAAGCCCAGAAACAGTATCACTCTGCTGAAAGTACCAGGTAACAGCAGAACCTTGGACAGGACTGGGGAAAGGCAGAGAAACAAAGGCTGACCACATGCGGCCTCAGGGAAGAGCAGAAGATACAGGTTAAATCATCACACAATTTAGGGCTGTGCAAATGCCTGGCACAGACCCGGGAGGTCCTCGACTACTTGTAAACGACTAACCAAAAGACTGAATAGACATAGAGAAAGTATTCCATCCAATTTCCATATTTATGGTCATGAGAAACAGGCCCAGGAAGGACAGTAACGTGATGAGGTCACACAGTTCGCCAGCAACAGAGCTGGGTCTAGAGCCCAGGCCTGCAGACTTCTCGTGTCCTGTCACCACACAGCCTCCAGGCCACGCTCCCCCACTCCCAGAGCAGTGAGGACATCACTGCTTCTCAAAATAATATAATTTCTCTGGAAATTGAGAGACTCTTTTCCCTGCTGGTTTTCTAGCTAAACTTCACATTTTTTCATATAGAAGAATTAGATCACTTCCACCTATTTCCTCTGTTTTTGGCATCTCTGCCAACATTTGCCCATCTTGGCATTCACTGTCCTCTTGTTTACGTTTCCCCTGCTTACTCTCCGCATCCCTCCTTTGACGCCCCTGTGACTGGTTGTGTGGCAGGGGGGTTGATCTGTTCTGCTTTGTTGAGGGGAGGGGGCAGGAAGGCTGGTCAGGCCACCTGAATCTGCTCATCTTCTGCTACCCTTTCTTAGGTTCTACCTTTAAAAAATGGATTTCGGGTACTTAAAATAAAATATATTTGTCACAACTTCAAAGACTTTAAATACTGGCTTTTCTTCATTTTTGAATACTCAGTAGGACCAAGAGTAGCCCAAAGCCATTAAGAATATAATCTGAATAGAACAAACTCCTTTGTTTTCAGCTTCAGGTACAGTGTGAAGTGTTGATCTTACTCCTAAACCTAATTTGAGCACCAACTGCCTTATCAACAGCACTAGGAATATGCAAAGTTATGTTCAAACACTCTCAGGAGGGTGCATTTAGACCATGTTTTTCTTACTGCTTCCTAAGAGCATAAAATAAAATAACCAATTGAACTGGGTATAATTCAGGCCTACTAATTGACTCAGTCTTCCCATGAGAACTAGATGGCATCCATCTATTCCCTAGATATAACTTTTACAATAAATATTGCTGTAATCCTAAAATCATAGGTGTAGACCCCTTTTCTTCAGAGGAAGTATCTATAACCTTGTAAAGCTATAATCCCTAACAACAACATACCTACAAATGGCCCCATGTCCGGGTATAATGTCACACTTTCCATCATTCAGGCAGAAGTCAGGCTGTAGGTCACAGAGACTCTGACAGGGCAGTTCCTTCACACTCTGGTACCCAGGGTAGCATCTGCACTCTGCTTCTCCACTCCAGGGGTTGACCAAACACTCAGAAAATTCATTGCATGCCTGAAACTTGCAAGGGTTGGCTTCATCACCTAAAACATCAAACAAACCAGAGAATGATACAAGGAAAGGGAAAACACAGAAGTTAGGGTACAGGAAGCCCTTCCACTAAGGCTCCCCACTCTCAAGTATCACCCTTCCTGAACCATTAAAATACACCATCACCACCAATACCACAAAAAATTTGTGACTCATCCTTGATTGATGAGCTTTTGTCAAATTTCTCTGAAATCCAGAGCCAAATCATAAAACCCAACCACCTGGGTAAGCCTCTACATGTTTTACCTAGGGAGCATGTAGAAGCTTGAAAATCTATGTCATGTAATTGTAGATCTCAATTACACACAGTTTTCATGTACCATTCATTTCCACCAACCCTATCTGGCTCTAGTCCACCTCCACTCTGCACACGCTGCTACATGCCCTGCCCCACACTGAGAATATGGGATGGGAGACAGACCCAGAGAAGAACTGGTGGGAGCCTCAGGGATGGGTATAGCCCAATAAGAGCAGCCTAAGAACAAATCTCAAATGTTTCAAGATTTGTGAAAGCCAATGTTAGGAAAATACATCAGCCTTGCACCTCCTCAGGCCATTCCCAACAATATTTTGGATTCAATAATTTCACTTTTCATTGATGGGATGAGAGAAAATGATAATTTTTTAAAAATTAATTAGGACCAAAAAAAAAGCCAAAAATTATATAAGACATTGATGATGGATGGGCCTTCCATCCTATCATGGTTCCACTATATGTTCTTCACTGGTGAACAGCAATCTGTGAGTTGCAAATAGGCAAATGGTGACATAGATACCAAAAACAGAGGAAATAAGTGGAAATGACCCATAAACTCATCTATATGAAAAAGCATAAAGTTTAGCTAGAAGGCTAAGGGCAGGGGGCGGGGGGCGGTGTTAAAAAGCAAAGAGCATGGTCTCTCAGTTTCCAGATAAATTAATATTGTTTTGAGAATCAATGATTTCCTTGCTACTCTAGAGAGGAAAGACATTTTGCACCACTCTGTGGCCTTGGAGTTTGGAGGATCTCTGCAACTGATCTTTCTTGGGCCTTTATAGGAATGGGGGACATACTGGGTTGAATATGTCCCCCCCAAAATTCATGTCCAACCAGAACCTCAGAACATGACCCTATTTGGAAATAGGGTCTTTACAGATGTAACCAAACTAAGATGAGGTCATACAAGATTAGGGTGGGCCCCCAGTCCAATAATTGGTGTCCTTATAAGAAGAGGGAAATTTGGGCACAGAGACATAGACACACAGGAAAGAATGCCATACAAAGAAAGTGGAGCAATGCATCTACAAGCCAAGGAATGTCAAGGATTGCTGTAAACACCAGAAGATAGGAAGAGGTACGGAAGGATCCTTTCCTGGAACCTTCAGAGGGAACATAGCCTGCTAACACCTTGATTTTGGATTTCTAGCCTCCAGAACTCTGAGAGAATAAATTTCTGTTGTTTTAAGCCACGCAGTTTGTGGTCCTTTGTTACAGCAGCCGTAAGAAACTAAGACAAGGGACCACGGATAAGATGCTCCTACAACAAGGAGAGCATACAAACGTGCTGACAGATGAGCAGTTTCTACAAGGGGACTCCACAGCAGGATTCCACTGTGTATTTCCTAAGTCTTTACATCCTTATCCTAGTATCCATTTTGTGACTTTGTAGTCAGAAAATAATCCAGTCCTGGCCTAGCAGTGAGGGTAAGAGTGTATACAAGGGTGGGAAGGATTACCATTGCACAGCTCCGCTTTGTTGATGGAAGTTCAAGTGTTTCTGAAACACTGCATGTGAAACAAGTTAGGCAAAAGACAAGTCAATCTTGTCTCTAGCCAATCTTGAGATAAAATAATATTTTAATCTGAAAGCCTTTAACTGAAAATACATATATAGTAGGAAAATTCTATTTTAAAATTCTAAAACTTTGGGACCATTGAGTGGTGTGGGTGAGTGTCGAGGGGGAAGAAAACAGAATCTATAAGAGGAAAAAGATAAATGATGCTCGCTTTTGCTGCTAGACTGAGAGAGACTAAGACTAATATTTCAATCATATAAATAAGACTATAGTTTTGAAGTCTCTTTCCAGTCATTTGAGCAGGTTAAAGGTGGATGCCCAAAACAGATGGCCCTCTGTTTGGAAGAGTATCTTAATGACTTTATGGGAAAACAAAGGCAGTCCGGGAGCTAAGCTTGGGATAGGAGACAGGGATCTAAAGTGTAGAATGAATTACTTTCTGGTTTTCCAGGGCCAGGCTAAGAGGATTGACGGGTCCAGGAAAATGAGAGTGGAGGAAATGTGAAGAGAGTCTGGAAAGACAGCCTGAGCAGCCAGAGTAACAAGTAACATGGTACTGACTGGGTTCTAGAGAAAAAGTTAGGCAGTAAGATATATCTTTGAAAGGGTGCCTGAGGAATTTTAGGATATTTGTGCCTGACAGTAACATTTTAAAGCCATCTACTGTGCTACGATAAAGCCTCCTCCATCACCTTCATGTCATCAGCAAATATCTGATAGATCAACTGCCTTGTGTTAGAGGTGTTTTGGGAACATCAAAAATGGACTGTGATCTATGTTGAGTTAACATAAAGAACCACCACAGAGGTCAAGACAAATGTGAGACTGGAAATTCAGCAAAGGAACTCAGAGCTGGAGGTGATTAAGAGATATTTAAGTTCCTTGCTAATTCCTAGAGATATTGGGGGTGGGAGGGCCATTGATGCAGGTTTTACACTGCACATGGGAGGGGCTAATGCCAATTTATTTGAATGTTAAAGAAAAAGGTGACCCTATAAACCTGGATGACTTGCCATGCAGCTGACATGTGAGTTACACACAAAACTGAAGTAAATGCACTTATTTATTATACTTCTCTTTAAAAAGAAGTGGATTGACTTTTGCAAAAGTTTTATAAATCATAACTTCTTGCATTTATATGACTAGTCAAATACTTTTATATGTTATTTGTTTAATCCTTAGAATAGCCCATGAAATACATAGGCCAGCTCATACTATCCTCATTTAATATATGAGGGACTAAGGCTCAGAGATAAAATAGCTCATCTAGGGTCACACCAATGATACATGGTAAAGCAGAGGCAAGAAACTAGGCCTTCCAAATTATAATTTATTGCTTCTTCCACTACACCACATGGCAAAGAATGCATGGCCTGAGAGAACTCAAGTGGCAAGAGATCTGGATATTGGGGGATTAGCTAACTAATTTCCCTCACTTGCAATGAATAATGGTCCTTCAAGGATTTCAAAGGAAAGAATGTCTGCTTCTTTCCCAGTTAAAGAATAGGGCTGACTTCCAAACCAGTTTAAGAGTAGAAGGCACTGGAGAAATATGAATCCAAACATTCTACCTTACTCCTACTCAAAACCACTGTCCTCTGGCACATGGAAGGAAAAAGAGAACAAAGTTTGAGGATGGTTACAAACTCTATAGGGGAAAAGAACATGATGTGACAAGATAAACTAATAGGAAAAATTCAACCTAGATTATGAATGAGTCAGCGAAAGTCTTGAGGAAGAGACATTGGAACTGAGGCATAAAGGGTCAGCAGAAGTCAGCCAAGAAGGGAAAGAGTTTCAGGCAAAGGGGCCAGTGTGTGCAGAGGCTTTAAGGCAAGAAAAGTTTTTTCTATCTGAGGAACTAAAAACAAGCTAGTTTGACTAGAAGATGGTGAGCAAAGAGGTTAGTTTCATTGGATGATTTTGAGAAGAAGATAGGGACCAGGCCTTAGGGCTACTAAATCAGGCAGCTATTGAAGTGTTTCAAGCAGGAAAGTGAAGTGATCTGATTGATGTTTTAGAAGGAGCACCCTGGCTACTGTCTGGAGAATGAATAAGAAAGGGGGCAAGAGAGACAGTGGGGAAACTGGTCCAAACGAGAGATGATGGTGGCTTGGACTAGAGTAGTGGCAGTGGGGACAGAGAGTACAGCATAGATTTGAGATATATTTAGAATTCAGAATAAATATAAGTTTGGTAAGTGATGGAAAGTTGGGGGTGGTGGAAACTGAGGTATTAGAATGACTTCCCAGGTTTCTGGCTTAAGTAGCGGAGTAGACAGAGCTTCCATTTATTGAAAAGGAGAAGCTGAGAGAAGGAGCAGATTTGTCTGGAAGGTGGGGAGACTTGAAAAACAAGAGCTCACTCATAGACATCTTCAGTTTGATATACACAGAATACATCCAAGTTGAGATCATCAAGTAAGTAGTTAGATATTGACTCTCGAGCCCAGAAGACAAGTCCAATCTGCATATAAAAACACAGAGAGTTATTGACATTTATGTGAGACTTAAAATAATAGGAATGGATAAAACAACTTAGGAAAATAACAGTAGGGAAGCGAGTCCAAATCTATTGGGCATGGCAACATAGAGATGTAGCAAGAAGAGATCCAGTAAGTAAGAGATGCAGGATAAAGAAAGAGAGAGCCAGATGGAGGAGACAGAAAAGGGAATGAGAGGTGAGCAAGGAAAGATACCAGGTGTGGATAACCCTTTTCAAAAGAGAATGATATTGACGTCCTTGGAAGAGATACTTGACTAATTACCAACATGTTGAAAATTTGCCTGACATAGTCCCCTTTTTCCTCCAAAGTATTAAATGCACCTTGATTCAGCGTAGAAGAAAATACACAAGAATAACTTCTGGATTCCACTAAGTATTCAACATCATTACCTGATTCCACATCAAGGGAGTATTTATCAATAGCCAAGTTCATGGTTTGGTAGGCAGTGGTGCAAAAGTCTTCCAGAATCATGTACACAGCATTGTTGACATTGGGAGGGACAGACTTGGCAAACTTCATTCGGCTATTCACCACAATACTGCCATTTCTGAAGTTCAGGATTTCTAAATTCTGGAACCCTGTGAGATTTGACTGGAGATAGGGAACCAGCTACAACACATGAAAAGTGGTCAGTTTATTGACAAGGTTTTGCATTTTGTCCAATACATACCAAAACAAACAAACAAACAAGGATGAACCCCTCCCCTACTTTTCCAAATTGTATTCTATTTACACTATTTAATCTGTTCATTGACAAAAGTATAAATTGTGAATTATTTGAGAGTCATGAGATATTCACAGTGATATTTAGGAACCCCATAGAACTCACAGAGTTTTAGACACCCAGCGAGTTCAATATCTAAGTTGTCACATCACCCTCATGCCTCCTTTGTGTTTTCCATTTCTTGTATCCACCTGTCTTATTGTTTTCGTACCAACCCTAGGCCATGATGCTATTTGTAGACGATAGGAAATGAACGTCCATGGCAGACCACACTTTCCTTGTCTCAGATCTTACATGTTGGGGGGGAAAGAGGGGTGGTTCATACATGATCATTCACTAACGCCCATGTTTCACTCTTTGTGCTTACCAATTCTAAGAATCTTTGCTCCAGGGCTTTATACTCCAAAGAGTTTTTATTAAACAGGTCTTCTGAAAACATCATGTTAGTCACTCGGAGGCTGAAGAAAACCACCAAAGCTCCTGTGGTCTGGTTATGACTCAAGTCACTTCCTTTTGTGGGCCAAGCCACAACAGCCACCTCTGTGGAGTGAACATTTGTAGACAGTTCCATATAACTATCAACCTTGCCGTTTTCCTCTGGGCTTAGCTCAGGCTGATAGTAATCTGTGCCCATCCGGTCCAGTTCTAGTGAAATATCCTGTACACCCGTAATTACCTCATCCTCCAGCAGGGTGGAGCTTGTGGTTGGAGGCAATTTGGTAGACTGTGTCAGGGAAGCTTTCAACCAGAGCTTATCAGTACCCTGTGGTGTACTTGCCAATGTGTCTCTGGACAATTTCTCTAGGGAAGAAGTTCTTGCCCAAACTACATCTGATTCTGGCAACATGGTCCACAAAGTTTGCATACCTGGCTTCACTATTGAAACCTTGCTGTCAAACCATTCACGGTTGGATGACTCTGTAGTTTGTTCCATATGGTCTTTTAGAAAAGTTTCTACCTGATCTGGCTTTTCAGTAGGAGCAGAGATTGCTATAGATGTCAGTAGAGAAGGTGCTTCGGTAACTGAGTAATGATCAATGTCAGATACCTCTGATGTGTGTTTGGAGAGAATTAGAGATGATTGAGTTGTGGTCTCTGCTGCAAAGATGGGCACAGTAGGTCCACCAAGGGGCTCTTCCTCTGCAAAGCTTGGGGTTCTATCAAAAGGCCCATATTTTGAATGTTCAATACTTTGGTCTGTGGAATCTATTTTGTCATCTATAACTAGCTTCTCATCTACACCCTCACTTGGCAAAAGTGAATCCTCATCTTCAAGCCATGACTTGGACAGTGGTTCGATGCTCTTCTCTAATGAAGTCTCATTCCATGGCCAAGTAATCAGATTCACCTTTTGCCCAGACCCTGAACCTAAACCACTCTCAAATATGAACTCTTTTTCCATGGATGTGTCTGGCATCAAAGTGCTCACTTCTAATTCGCCTTTGACTTTGGAGGCCAAAGAGTCCAAGCCAAAAGGTGTAGTTCTTTCTTTATCAGGACGATCTAATGTGACAGAGGAGACCAGATACGGTGAGGATGTCAAAGACACCCCAGAGTCTTCCACGGATGGTACTGTTTCTTTTGGCACAGGATGAGTGAATGAACTTGAAGGCAATGGATCAATAGAAAGAAAATCTTCTAACTCTTCAACTTTGGGTAATCCTAAAAATAAAGTTTTCCATTAATTAATCTACAGCATTGCCAAAATTCCCAGTTCTCCTAATAAAACCAGCTACTTGTTTTTCCCATTAGGTTAGGAAGGACAGATGCTGACTTTTACTTTGCTATATCCAGCAAACAACAAGAACATATGATTATGTTTTTGTGGTGTGGTAGAATCGCTCACGAATATACCCCCCTTCCCTGAGGATAACAAGACACCAGCTATTGAAATAATTCATCCTCAAATACTTGATTTATTTGGACTCTGCAATTCAACCAATTAAATCTGCTTGTTCCCTTTCTCACACAACTTTCCCAAAACATTTCCTCCTGATGGATGCTACCATGCTTCTCTATTAACCCGTCTCTTCCTGTCTTCAAAGCCCTCGTCATCTGATACGATACAGTAAAGAAGTAGGAAAAGTGATTAGAATTCCTCACCATCTCCTAATAAGTGAGATCCAGAAGTCCCTTCCTCAGAAGCCACAGGCAAGCCAGTCTGAAACACTGCTGGGGTGACAGAATGAAGAGTCAAGCTGCTAACCTCTAACACTTCTGTGGAAGAACTGAGGCCCACCTTCGAGGAAAAGGCTAATTTGGGTGTAGACATTAAATCACCCAAAGGGCTCTCTGACCAGAGTTCCCTGCCAGTGGCTGAGGGAGGACCAGAGCTGAAATCAAGTGGTGAAATACTTCTGGTGGTGGATTCATCTGCTGAGAGCCATTCAGCTTGAAGGGTATTATCCTGAGGGGGAAAAAAAACCAAATCATCTTGTAGATAAAGGAAACACATAAAAATCATTTCAGATACCACCTATCTATCTACATTCCCAGATTTTCCAGGGATAAGGAGGCAATATAATATTGGGTGGGAGCAGGACATGGGCTTTAGAATCTAACAGATCTATAATCAAATCCCAATTCAACCACTCGCTAGTCAGAAAATCTAGAGAAAAACCATGTACCTCTTGAGTCTCCCCTGTAAAGTGGGGACAGATGAGAGAACCTATTTAAAAGATCCCAAACAAAGTGAATTTGTGGGAGAAAATATTGTTTCTCTTGCTTTAGATAGTTCCTTTCCCTCTGTCATATTAGCTTAAATACTTTAAATACATCAGAAATTACTAACATCTGTAATTTGTTGTCAAACACCTAAGCACATTGCCCACAGCGGGAAAGAATAATTAGCAATTTTATTCATCATTCTGAAAGGTATTTAATTAATTTTAATTAATTAATTAATTAATTAAAAAAAAGAAACATCATCACATCAAAATGCGGTCTGGTGACCTTGCACAGACAGCAACATCTGTGAAATAGCATCACACTTACAAAATACAATTTTCTCTTTCTAGTGGTTTTTACTAATATAGTACTAATCTCATCTTAAAATTTAGCTTCAGGAATAGAAAATCAGACAGAAACACAATCTTTGAACACGCTCCTTATTTAATCCTATGACATCAGTCTATATAAAAAATTACACTCCAGCCCTCACAGGGCTCTGGTACCGGCACCTCCTTCCCTTGTCCTATAACCCAACGGGTGGTAACGGCTTCTCACTGTTGTTAGTGTCTGCATAGCTCAACATCCCTTTTTTCTCCCTCAGCCCTGCACACACCTCCATCTAGGTGATTCTGTTACTATTGAGACCCTGCCTAGCTGAGCCATGTTTTGTAGTGCAACGCATTTAAAAACCCATAAAAGTTTGAATCATTTCTGTCAAAAGGTGATTACATAATTCGTAATGAAATACAAATGGCCAGCAAAGAAGGAATGAGAATCAGTTGAAACAATGACAGCACTGTGAACCAAAAATGGTATCACTCTGGCTAAATTTAATTAAAAATAAAAAATCTAGAAAGGAAAGAGGGAAGTGATGAAAAGTGGATGGTGCAATACTAGTAAATATTTTTTACAATGTGGGTTTCATCAAAAAAAGAAATAGAAGTAAGACACATCTAGGCATTAGACTTGAGCCTGACTACCTGAGTCTGCTGAAGTGAAATGTCTGAGAGAAAAGCAAGATATACGTAGAAGAAAGAGGGAGCTGAAGGCCATCTTCAAATGATCAGATGTAACTGCAAATGCTCTACAGAGAAAGAGGAAGGTTTCAGGATAAGAAATTCCTAAGCATTGAATGTGAGGATACTAAGACTTGGTTCACGAGTAAGGCCAAAAAGATGATCTAATCGGAGGATATTAGTGGCATTTTTCTCATAAATTGTAGTATTTTAAGAGTATGTAAAAGCAAGGATGGTGCAACAAAGACCAGGCAGGGCTCCACTCTGCTATACACAGGGTCGCTAGGAGTCAGAATCGACTCGATGGCACTAACAACAAAACTACCAGGAGCAGAGGTAACCTGGTATAACTCCATGCAGTGGAGGCAGCCTGTGATCACCGACCCGTGTGCAGGGTGCTCCTATATGACCTAGTTCCAAACAGACACACAAAGTGGCCTGATATTTCTGCCTACAGGGTCTAAAACTTTCCGGGTCCTCAAGAATGGACCAGAGTGATGTCAGCAAGAGGGCCAAATAAGACACCCCTCGCTCGTATCCCCCCCGCAGAACAATTTGGCATCCATCCATGGAAAAAGTGCCTTTGTGGAAGCTGTGGGATCCAGCACCATACAAGAAGGGGCCCAGGAGGAGTCTTGCCCACCCGCACGTGGGGAATAGGCATACAGACCTCGGTCCCAGCTGCGGACCCTGAAGTGGCCTGTGAACTGGCTCCAGGCCCTCTCGGCCACAGTCTGGAAGCCCCTGGAGAACACTAACTAAGACAATCACCCACAGATGAGAGAGCCTTTGTGGAAGTCCAAGAGTCCAGCAGAGAAGTTCTAGTTTACCACTGGAGCAAAAAATCCAAGTTTGGACACGTTGGAGAGGGTAACAGGAACACTTTGACTTTACCTGCATCAGCCCTCCTCCAAGGCGGTGCAGCTCGGTGCCAAGAGAGCCCTTCCCAGCTCATGATTTCTCCCACAGCAGAAAGGGCGGGCATGTGAGTAAGCGCCTGGCCTCCCCAGCTGTGCAGAACCCTGCTAAGGAGCCCCTTTCCTCTCTCACTCCATCCAGAGTCCTGAGTCGTCAGCTGCACAAGCAGGGGGCCATGAGTGGTTGGGAGAACAGCAGCCAGGACTCTGATGGTATCAAAGGGATTTAGATCCTATTGACTGCTTCACAGACTCCATCAGGAGGCCTGACCTGAGCCGCTGAGACACCTCCCCCATGGATCTCACCCAACTGGACCACGAGTCCCCCCAGGGCTCTGCACACCTCACCCGCACCCCACTCTGGCCCATGGCCAACGCCTTGTGTGCACTCCTCACATCACAGAGAGCGAGCTTTGGCAGACAGCTGGTGAGCAGGCACAGAAAGCAGGCCTGAATCTGCAGGGCAGGGAGATACCACAGACTTCAGCTTTAGCACTGCCCTTGGGAAAGCAAAAGGGAAGCTGTCAGCACTTAGGCTGCTGCGTTGCAAGACAGAGAGAAGCTATACAGGCTTAAATGGATTAAAGTTTTGAATGTAAGACCTAAACCCATAAAACTTGTAGAAGAAAACATAGGCAGTACGTTCTTCAACATCAGTCTTAGCAGCATCTTTTCAAATACCATGTTTCACCAGGCAAGGGAAACAAAAGAAAAAATAAACAAATGGGACTACATCAAACTAAAAAGCCTCTCCCCAGCAAAGGAAACCATCAACAAAACAAAAAGACAGTCTAACAATTGGGAGAAGATATTTGCAAACTATATATCTGATAAGGGGTTAATATCCAAAATATATAAAGAACTCATACATACATCTCAACAAAAAGAAACAAACAACCCAATTGAAAAATGAGCAAAAGATCTGAACAGACATTTTTCCAAAGAAGATATACAGATGGCCAACAGGCACATGAAAAGACATTCAACCTCACTAATTATTAGGTAAATGCAAATCAAAACTACTATAAGATATCACCTCATGCCTGTCAGAATGGCTATAATTAACAAGACAAGAAATAACAAGTGTTGGGGAGAATGTGGAGAAAAGGGAACTCCCATACACTGCTGGTGGGAATGTAAACTGGTGCAGCCACTATGGAAAACAGTATGGAGATTCCTCAAAAATTTAAGAATATAACTACCATATGATCCAGCTATTCCACTTCTGGGTATTTATCCAAAGGACACGAAAACACAAATGCGTAAAGATATACGCACGCCTATGTTCATTGCAGCATTCTTCACAATAGCCAAGACTTGGAAACAACCTAAATGCCCATCAATGGATGAATGGATAATAAGATGTGGTATATATACACAATGGAATGCTACTCAGCTACAAAAAAAAGATGAAATCTTGCCATTTGCGACAACAATGGATAGACCTTAAAGGTATTATGCTAAGTGACATAAGTCAGACGGAGAAAGTCAAATACCATATGATTTCACTCATAAGTAGAAGATAAAAACAACAACAACGACAAACAAACAAATAGATACAGAGATTAGATTGGTGGTTACCAGAGGGGAAGCAGGGAAGGAGGAAGGCAAAAGGGGTGGCAGGGCACATGTGTAGTGATGGATGGTAATTAGTCTCTGGGTGGTGAACACATGTATGTAGTCTACACAGAAATTGAATACAATGTTATAAACCAATGTTACCACAATAAAAAAAAAAAGAATTCTGCCATGACAGGGAACAAGAAGTGTGGAGTAAGCACATGCATAGAAGGTCTGAGAAAGCCTAAGAATCCCTAGCAGGGCTGATGGAAGGTATTTCTCTCCTGAAGTCAATCAGTAAAGACTGGAGGAGGTGACTGTTATTTCACGTGCCAAGACAGCAATGCAAGACTTCAAGGAAGATGAAAAATCAAAGAAACATGACACCACCAAAGGATCACAATAATCTTCCAGTAACTGACCCCAATGATTTACCTGGTTGAGAATTCAAAATAGCTGTTTAAGACAGCTCAATGAGCTACAAGAAAACACAAAAGGTAATTCAATGAAATCAGGAAATCAATATACAAACAAAATAAGAAGTTTAACAAAAAAACAGAATCACAGAAAAGAACCAAACAAATTCTGGAGCTGAAAAATACAATGAATGAAATGAAAAATGCAATAGCATCAACAGGGGAATGGATCAAGCAGAAGAAAGAATCTGTGAAGTAGAAGACAGGACCTATGAAATTATCCAGTCAGAGCAAAAGAAAGAGAAAAGAATGAGGAAGAATGAAGAAAGCCTATATGTACTATGAGATACCATCAAGAGAAGCAATCTGTGAATTATTAGAGTCCCAGAAGGCGAAGAGAGAGAGAAGGGGGCAGAAAGTCTATTTAAAGAAATTATGACTGAGAACTTCCCAAATCTAGGGAGATTTTGACCATCCAAGTTCATGAAACTCATCAAACCCCAAGCAAATTCAACTCGAAAAGATCTTCTCCAAGACACATTGTAACAAAACCATCAAAAATCAAAGACAGGGAGAATCTTAAAAGCAGCAAGAGAAAAGAAGCTCATTACTTACAGGAACCCCCAGTAGGCTATCAGTGGATTTCTCAGCAGAAACTTTAAGGTCAGGAGAGAATGGGATGATATATTCAAAGTGCTGAGAGAAAAAACTGCCAACCAAGAGAGAGAAAGATGTTCCCAGACAAACAAAAGCTGAGGAAGTTCATCACCACTAGACCTGCCTTACAGAAATGCTGAAAGGAGTTCTTCAAGCTGAAATGAAGGGACACTAATGAGTAACATGAAAATATATGAAAATATACAACACAGTGTAAAGTGGCATATAGTAAAATACTGTAATATTGTGTGTTAACCATTTAACTCAAGTAAAAAGGTTAAAGGACAAAAGTATTAAAAATAACTCCCAAACTCCAAAGTGGGGAGAGCTGCAGTCTTGTAGGACTAAACCTCAACCTGTGGGATCTGATGTTATCTCCAGTTAGGTAGTATCAGAACTGAGTTGACTTCTCAGACACCCAGCTGGTGTCTGGAGAATTACTTGGTGCTGTGTGGGAAACTCCCACTCTACACATTGGAAATTGGTCTCAGGACCATTTTAGGGGCGAGTATGTGCATGTGTATGAACCTAATGAAACTATCAAATTTTAGAACTAGAAGGACTCTTACGAACCATGTAGTCTAACCTCGCCTATGAAAGACAAGGAACTGAGTTTCATAGAAGTGAAATGCCCACAGTCACAAAAAATAGAGAAAAAAATCAAAACTCGATTCTGAGTTTCTCGAGTCCCAGTCCCAGTGCTTTGCACACTATACCAGACTACGCATTGAGAGACAGATGCAAGTGTGTATACCCAGATAGCAAAAGGATTCCCAGAGCAGAAACTAGAGTTAACAGACCTGGCATCCATTCTCATTCAGGCTAGCATACCTCCACAGGTCTAAAAGACCCAGGGGACACAGAGCAGAGGGAGACAGGAGAGACCATTTTCTAATATTTAAATGTCTGCTATGTTAAATATGGAGGCTGTTCACATAGACAGAAAAGTTTCTTCCTTTCCCATTTCTTTTCCTAGTATCTAAAACCATATATATATTCAGGGAAAAGTAAGAAGGCCTTTTGCTCAGTACCAAATTCTGTTCCTCAAAAAAGAGGTTACAAGGATGACACACATACGAGGGAATTCACTTCTTACACACCAGGGAATTCACTTTTTTCCTCTTAATTATCTAAAACCACTTCTAGAGATGTGTTAAAGCCACCCATTCTTCCAGCTGAGTCAGGCATATTTACATCCTTGCAAAAGCCCTTTAACCCACACTTAAGAAATTGAGTTTCATCAGACAGAGCCCACAACGTGACACATATTAGGAAAGCAGCTCAATCCTCAATAAAAAAGAAATCCTCAAGCAATATATATGATTTCAACATGTCTATAAACTAAATGCCTTTTCATTTCATAAAAATTAAAACAATATGTATCCTTAATAAAAGTCAAGTGAAGTAGGCAACATAAAAAGTGAAAGTAAACAATTTGACTTTTTAAATAAGGAAGACCACCTATTCCTAAAAGGTACCCTCTAAAACATGGCATGGCAATGAAGCTTTCTCAGACATTTTGAAAGATGTACACATACAGGCCAGGAATAGCACTTCATTTATTTTTATATGAATAGATGTTCCCATAGTAACAAATTCAACTCAGGAATTCTTCTTTTAGTTCAATGTAGTATATTAACAACTTTAATATTATATTGGCCAGTTTCACTTCTGCTAATGCCAATTGCAAAGCTTGCTCGTGCTATAGAAAGCATACTGTGCAACAAGTGATTTTCCAAGTCGGGATGCCAAAAGGGGTCAAATTCAATATCCCAACATTTCTACTACTAAAATAATTTCTAAAAATCAAATCTCGTAAAAAAAATTTTCACTTCTATAAGAGAACAAAATCTTGTTAACAGTTTGCCAAAAAAGAAGAAAAGAAGCAATAAACAGATACTTCTAATTAATCATTCTTTTTCTCATGTCTTATGAAAAAGACCCCTTAACATTCCAATGTCTCCTCAAATTGTTAATTACTGCCCTACAGTTGTCACTATTCAACAAAGGAAGGGATTGGCTTAAATGCAAACGGAATCACAGCTCAGGCAACGTAAACAAACAGGTGAGCCCAGTTGGTCAGTGCTTGCCATCCTTAAGGGGCAGCCCCTTTCAGCCAAGCTCTAGCCACTTTCTGCAACAGGAGAATGAGAGCTTAATGATACCAGATATTCCTGGTTTTCAGCAAAAGTTGGAAATCTGCATTTGTATGCAAAAATCTAATTTTTAAATATTAGCTTTTTTTTTTTTTTTTTAATTTGGCCCCAAAGTACATGCTTACAGATGGATCCAGCCAGCTCGTCTCCAGTTTGCAATCTCTGGCTTGTATGGAAATCCCTGTCTTTACAACATCATTCTAAAATATCATCACAGATCTTCTTCTGCAGTTAGAGAAGCCCTGAGTTGAACGTGATTAGAAGGAATGGAGACTGGTGGTGCCATGTCCACAGTGAATCACCACTCCCTGCCACTGCACCCTGGATGGATTTCTATTACAGCATCACCTTAATTCTGTAGAAGTCTGTCTACTACTACCAGACTGGAAACTTCTTGTAGGCAAGGCCACACCCTTACTCATCTTAGTTTCCCCAGCACTTGGCACATGAAAAGCACAAAATAAATATATTTGAATGAATGAATAAGCGAATGAACAAACAAACACCAAATGAATGTAATCTCTGATGTCACTCCCCCTCGAACCTTTTTTCTCCAATATGGAACTCGGTGACACCACATTTCACAAGTGAGTTGCTCTATAACCGAGTAGAAGAAATGGCTGCATATATTAATGGTTAAGCGAATTTGGGGCAGGCTTTCTAAATGTTCATTGCTAGATTAAAGCCAAGAAACAAGTATTTCAAAAAGCTTATATGACAGATAAAGACAAACACCATATGATTTTACTCATATGCGGAAGATAAACTAACACATGGACAAAGAGAACAGATTAGTGGTTCCAGAGGGGAAGGGGGTTGAGGGGTGGGCATAAGGGGTAGAGGGGCACATTTGTATGGTGACTGACAAATAATAATGTACAACTGAAATTTCATAATGTTATAAACTATTATGACCTCAATAAAATTAAATTAAATTAAATTTAAAAAAGCTTACATGAGACAGGAAAAAAGTCTCAAGAGGCTAGAAGGAGTGGGGAACGTAGAGAGAGTCCCCCTACTGTGTCTCTGTAATAATAAAAGATTCGTGTACTCATGGTAAACAGGGAAGTCTCTTGTGGGGTTGTGGCTGTGGCTGTCACTGTTGTTGCTGCTTTAACTGCATTTGAGGAGCCACTTTCTCTTCTCCTGGAGGCCTCTTGATAGGTGAAGTGGCCAGTGGAGGTTTGGAGGGGTAGAGAAGTGCCCAGGGGAGCAGGGTGGTAAGAACAAAAGGGAAGGTCATTCCACGCTGCTTCTGGGCAAAGGGAAGTGTTCTCAGCCCAGGCTAAAGGAGGCTTGATCAGAGTCCCTGTCATTTGTCAGCTAGTTCATATTTTCACTCTTCCTTCTCTCTTCCATACACACGCTGCTCTACATGCTCTGGAGTCCAAACATTTTCTTCAGTACAATCCTTGGAACAAAAGTCTATACTCTGTACCTATGTACATCAATTTATAGTCTTGGTTATAAAAACTATTTCTGGGTAACTGCTAAAGAACAACTCGGTGGGCACTTATAACTTAATTATCACCAACAGTATGGACCATAAATAAGTTTTACACCACGTGTGGAGTTTGGCAATGCCCAGTGTGTGGATTTCATTTAACCACTGAGGAAGGCTTAAATTTTCTGAACCATTACTCAGGACCCATGAGCTGACAACTATGAGTAATGTTCCAGGGATGATGTAAGAGAATATTTGAAATAGGAACAGGTCAGGAAATTCATGATGCCAAAGTAAGCAGGTGAGGGTACAAAGAAGAGAAGCTTGGGGGCCTGGTTCCAGGCATAAAACATAGAAACATACTTACCAGAATAGATGGTGGGGTTGCCTGAAGACGTGAACGCTGGGTGTTCCAAACTAGGTCTTCAGTTTGGGGAAGCGAAACTCCTCTCACTGAAGAAAGAACAATATTAAAGAATTTTTTAGTTGAGACACTATTGTATTTGAGGTTCAGGACAACTAAAAGCCAAGTTCTTCCTCTTTATAATTTAGATTTTGGCAGAACAGATAGGGGAGACTTGCTTAGAAAATGCTGGCTACTTTATTCAGATATTTTACTTGTATTAGACAATCTGTCTGAATTCTAACACTCCAACATAAAATAAAGATTCTTCGCTTTATTACATCTAGGATACTCCTATATTATTCTCTTTCCTTTCTCAAGCAGTTTTTACTCTTTTCAAGATTCTTTTGAAACAGTTGTTTTTAAATTGATTTTTTTTCATTTTAATAAGAAAGTTGAACTGAAATTCCAACTCTTTTTGGTTGACGCTAAGAATGGAGAAAATTACGCAAAATAATTTCCTTTTTGGCAGAAAGTGCCTTTGAAAAATGGGCTAGGACGCCAGAGAGTTTATCACTACATCGATATTAAAAAGCAATAAAGTTAAGAGAGTATATTGTATAATTTAATCCAACAAAGGCTTACTGAATCCTTGCTAGTTACTACAGACTTGGATGAAGTTGAGGCTATCAAGAGTAATAAAGCCAAGTTCCTCCTGTGGAAGTATTCCACACGCCAGAGAGATAAATACAAACTGTAAAATGACATGAGAGGCATATATGTGTACAACGTATGGGAATACAGACCAAGAAGAAATGGATTTTGCCTGAGGGGAGAGGGAATCAATGAAAGCTAAAAAGAAGGGATTGCCAGGAGAGTGATCTGGTGTATGCACCAAAAATAAAAGCAGAATCTCTCTTTATTCACCTGTTCCCAGTGGCCTGACATAGAAGGATCAATCAGAAGCAAAAAACCCTATTTGGTTCAAGTAGTTTCCAAAACTCTTTTTCAACTGTGTATACAGTTATCTTTTCTTCTATGGAAAACACGCACCATGAGATCAAGGATGAACATATCTTTGAAGATGATATCAAGTTACCTAGAAAGCTGCAGCCATTCAGAACTCTGAAGTTGGCATGACAATAGCAATGGATTTTAGGGACAAAACTCTGAGCAATTGAAACATACATCTAATGAAAGGTCAAAGCACCTGAATTAGTTTGTACTGGATAACCCAAAGCTTTTGTTGAACTTGCTTGGAAATTCTGAGAGAGTGGCTGACCTCCTTTTTAGGACACCTTCCAGGAGGTAGCTCTACCCCCAGGGTCCACAAAAAAGGAAGACTTCGCTATGCTGTTTGCAGATTTAGTTTCCCAAACAACTTCACTGTGCCTGTTGCACACTTAATTCTCACGCTACCACTACCCTGACCTTGGTGTTTGCACCTTCTGCTCAAGTTAGGTTCCCATCTCCCTGAGGTCATGACCTCCTAGCTCTATTTTTCCTTTCTTTGATCCCAGTATCGAGATTCCTGGAACCTCCTGCCTATATGCTGTCCCCATAGGTAGCCCCCAGCTAGTCTGTATCAGCCTTACCAAAAGGATTTCAGCATCTTCAGATTATAACAAGCCTCTTCTCTTTTCACTATTTTATCTGGCTCAGGTATTCCAACAAGATTCAACAACGAAAAAGAATGAGGAAGAGAGGAGGGTACCTGCACTGCTCCATACACAAAGGATCCCTCGTGTTTTAGAACTGACAGCTTAATATTAACACTAACCACGGAAGAGACAGTTTCTCCACTTCAACGTTCTACATAACCCACATGAAGTCCAGGCCACTCTGTGGTCTTGTCTCAGCACAGGGTCACAGTAAAGAAACATCAGTCCAGCAGCCAAAATAATTGAAAAGCAATTTAAAGTTTTAGTCTAGCCCTTTAAAAAATGTCTTATTTAGGAAATGAGGGATTATATTATACATAGTAAAATTTTATTAAAATTTTTTCTCTCTCCTTCTCTGTTGTGTCTATTTTGTTTATTTACACACACACACATGCACACACACACACACAAAGAGGCAGTGGTAGCTGCCTGAAAGGATACAGGCTCTTTTCTCTCAAGAACATGTGGGAGTTGGAGAGGTTGTAAAAATGCATCACTGTTAGTTAGTATTGCTTCTCACTCGTGGATTTTCCTCTTTGACAGCCAGTACTTCTCTCATGAAGTCACTTCAGTAAAATATATTCTGCTGGACATTTTAAAAGCTAAACTACCAACGAGTGAAGGAATTGTGGAGAAACAAACATGAAGTAGCAAGTAAGTTAACAGGACACCACGACCCTGATGAGTTAAGCTGTTGCACGCTAGTAACCAGACTCTTAGCAAGCTTTGGTCTCAGGTTGAGGAGGCCACTCTTTAGCCCCTAAATCCAGAGTAGTCAACCTCTCTTTGATGATCCCAGATCCATCTGTTGATTTTGGATCATAACTGGAACCACAGCTGTCTGAATTCAAACTTAGTACTGGATTCTCTGGAATTCTGCCCAGCGTCCATTATCAGTTTTTCTTTGACCAAGATCTTCCCTCAACTTTTCTGAGCTGCCCCTTCTCTTCTGCTCTCACTTTAAGCCTTTACCAGCTGACCTGGCTCTGTAGAGTTAATGTCTTGGTTGCCTGGATAGCACTATAACCTGTTTAAAGTCATACTTCCAGTTAGTACTTTCCTTTTTCTTAATACTTTGCTCCCATTTCTCTAAACTATTTCTAAACGTCATGCTGCTCTCCCCTTTCCCCACTCATTGTGACCTTCTGTCTACAAATATTCCAGAAAGTCCCTGACCGATCTACCCAAAATAGCTGTCCGGCTAAAGCTCCACTCATACCAGGATGGCTCCCGTCTCACGCAGTCTAGAGAATGCTCAGAACCGCATACATTTAGGGAAATTAGTTTTCGCCACAGTATTTTGGAAAACAAACTAAAACTACAAGGACTGCATGATGGGTATCAAACTCACCACTGATAAGCTGAAGGGAGGCAGGATCTGGATTCAAAGAGGAGTTCCCCAGCAAGAAATTCTGGTGCAGTGTCTCAGCAATATAATCTCTGAAGTTACTAATTGTATAAACAGCAGTGGGCTTATCATCCAATTCCACAAGACCATGGTTTTCCACCTTGTTGGAGTGAAGGCTAATTAGGTCCCAGGTGGTATTGCTGATGGCCTCACCGTTGAAGGTAACTGCATAGTGAACATCTATGCCACTATGGATGAAAAGAGAGAAGAGATTAGGCCCTGCTAAAGAAACACCAAGAAAGGATTTTTGAGCCCATGGAGAACAAGCATTAGATCTGGAGGGAGAGTCTCAAAAAGCATAGATTCCATCACCCTTCTCTGCAGACTCTGGGCAACCATTAGCCAGAGACCTTCCCAGAGAACAGAAGGTCATAGCTCGAAAGAGTTCTAAGGAGGCCGCAGAGTCAACCCTGCAGCATACCCAAACATCTTCTTCCCCCACATTCTCACCCCTTCTTTCTTCCCTCAGAGCCAACTGCTCCTCTCTACTTATCAGCCTGCTTCCTCCTTTCCCTATTAGCATATCTCCTCCTTGATTTAAAAAACAAAACAAACTGGGGCTGGCCTGGTGGCACAGCGGTTAAGTGAGCGCGCTCCGCTGCAGCGGCCCGGGGTTCGCAGGTTCAGATCCTGGGCGTGCACCGATGCACCCCTTGCTAAGCCATGCTTAGCACGGCTAAGCCATGCAGTGTCCCATATAAAGTAGAGGAGGATGGGCACGGATGTTAGCCCAGGGCGAATCTTCCTTAAGAAAAAAGGGGAGGATTGGCATCGGATGTTAGCTCAGGGCTAGTCCTCCTCACAAAAAAAAAAAAAAAAAAAAAACCTTCTAACTCCATCCAACAATGGGTAATCCTGTCATATCTTTTTATTATTGTTGTTGATGAATTATATACTCTACAACAGGGAGTGAGCAATGAAGCTTAATTACTACGAACTAAAACATAGTTATTTATTGTGAAAGGAAAATATGAAATACTTGGAAATAAAGCAAATTGATGATTTGTGACTTCTTTTTAAATATCATGCTAGAATATTTTCTAATATGACAGTTATCTAAGTCTCTCAGAAGACATACTTTTGTTTGATAGCCCAGAAAATTTACAGCCCTATAAAGTTTAATACTAAATTGTAAAAAACTACTAAGATGTGATTGATTTTTTTGGCCTGGTAAAAATGATAACTCCATAAGTTTTTGATTTTACTACCCTATAGGGCAGTAATCAGTTTTCTATCTAACTTAGTAATCCTTTCCCAATTAACTAGATAAATTTCTATTTTTCAAATACTCTAGAAACAAGCTTTTAATTTTCTGCTGGCTCCTTCATTAATGAGTTGAAGAAAACCTTGACAGGAGCTAACAAATAACTTTGTCTGGGAATTGGGCTTTCTTCACTATTACCTTTTCATGAGCAAAGAGAAGATTTCTCAGAATAAAGGATAGAGTGAAAATAATTAAGTAAGAGTTGATGTGTCATTTCATATTTTCTTAAATAGTCATTTCGGGGAAACAACATCAGAATATAAAATTTTTAAGCCCAGAGGAATACTCCTTCTGGGATCTAACTCAGATTTCTCTAACAACTAAAGCTAACATTTATAAGTGCTTACAATGTGACAGATATTTAATATGCTTTATCTCACTTAATTTTCATAATAACCTTATAAAGGTTTTATTATCTTCAGATTATTGTTGAAGAAACTGAGCTTTAATAAAGTTAAAAGACCTGCCTAAAATTTCCCGACATATAAGTGGTAGAGTTAAGATTCAAACACATCTGCCTGCCTCCAGCACCTGCAATCTGAACTACTATGCTATACTTTCAACAGTTTTAATTAAACTATTTTAATAGAACTATTTGTCAGAAAAAAAGTCATTATGAAGAAAGCTTTGCTTTAGTCATCACTCTGGCTTCCAGGGAGTCCATGAGACCCAGCCATCAGAGGCAGTACCCAGCAGGCCACACCAAGATCCCACCAGAGGAACGGAGAACACTACCTTCCCAAAGATAAACCACTCAAGATACACACGTGATGGAAACAATTTGCCCCTTCAAACATTCTGTAGGACAAAAATGACTCCCAAATCAAAGCATACAAATAAATTAAGCACTTCCTCCTCTGAACTTACTTATATATTCTTATGTATTCCTTGATTTTAGCCTTTGTTGTTTTGTCAAAAGATTTTGTTTACAGTGACTGCCTTTCAATCTCTCCTTGAGTTTCTATCTCCAATGTTCAGCCTGAGACCTGGCACTGAGGGGTGGCCACTGCCTAAATGAACAGAAATCTATACTTGTCTGAATATAAAAGAAAACTGCAACCTAAGCAAGGTATTCACGTATCTAAAGACAAAGTATCAACATAAGGAGAATGGCCCCATGGAGTCTAGAAACAGGAAATTAATCAACTAATTTATGTTACTATGTAGTAGAAAGCTTCTGACCAGTGTATTGAGGCTTCCTTGTAAGACAGATCCCCAGACTGGAGAGGCCAACAACTGGCTAGCACGGCTTGATGATTCTGGCCATTAAGATCACTCAACTTCCTTTCTCTGATTTCAAGCTTGCAAAGGGAACTTTTGATTATAACTCCCTATAGATTTTCCAATGGGGAAAGGAAGCATGAGCCAGCCAATGCAATAACTGGTTGGTTGACAGATATATTTCTTGCTTTAAATAGATCAACTGGCCTCCTAGAGAATGCATTGTATTTTGTGGTTTGGTAAGCAGGAATTGGTCTTAAGAGACCCCTCCTTCCTGGGAGGACCGGCAGGTCTGGACCTGTCCTGGGCCTGCTTGCTGCAGATCACACCCTGGACGACAGGACATGCCATGGAGGTGACATGCTTCACTTGCTATACAAGCAGCCAGGCCCCTTTGATGTTCCCGTCTCCTCCGAGTAACTTCAGTAAGGTTTTGCTCCCAGCCCTGATGAGCTGCCACTTCTAGTGGAGTGGTTTGGGGCGCTTTAAAGTGATAATTGAACATTCTGACACCCTGAGGTTCTACTAAGTGATAAGACATGTGCTTGTCGTCTAGAACTTCCCTAAATCCCTTAATTTTTCACGCTAAAATATGTTGATTCATAAATAATTCCTGATCTTCTTTTGTAAAGCAAATAAATTCAGTAAAATATGCTACAATAATCAAATGATAGCTCCAAGGTAGAATAAAACAGTAAGAGGGACACCTACTGGTCAGAACTCATCACACCACATGTGTCCCAAGCATCGAGCACAATCCCAGCTCATAGGAGTTCAATAAATACTTTTGAAAATAATGAAAAAACAAATGATCAATTTTATTCACTAATGCAGGCAGATAAGACAATTGAATTTGTGCCACTTAAATGACAATATGTGATATTCCTGTCTTAATCTGAAGAATTTTTAGTTTCTAAATATGAAAGAGTAATTTTTCACCCTAAAGAGCATGCATATTATCTTCACACATTTGTGTCATCTGAGTTACCATTTTAGGGACACAACTCCACAGCCACACCCCAACTCTATGAGGATGTGCATGCTCTTCCCAAGCTGTGGGGGACGGATCACGCCTGATCTCCAGAAAGCGGAGCTTCTCCTTCAGGTCTTTGCACAACCTATTCACGTGTTAACATGGCTCTAAGACAGGAGGCAGTGATAAGGAAAAAATGGAGAAGAAGAAAAGGCTGTGCCTATCAGCATTTGAGTTGGTTCCTGGGCTCTGCAGAAAATCAGACAAGAAGAGTCAAGCCTCTCCTGGGAGCCTACTATGTGCCTTGCATGACTTTTAAATATCACAGGGAGAAGATCAAGAGAAATATTCTTGGATCAAGAAATCTGTGCAAATCAGGCAGTCTGGATTAGATTACTGGCCTTACTCTTTATTGACAAAATATAATTTGTCTCCCAATGTTTCCCATGGACATCTAAAAATAACACTTCTATTATAATCTACCTTGTCTAGCGAGGATAAATTCATTAAAGAAGACACAATGCCTCAGAGAGATGCTACAATTTATTACCATGTTGTTGTGCTGGAAAGAGAACTCAAAGATGTGCTTGAGGTCTCAGGAACCATCTATTTTATTCTCAGAGCTGAGAACTTCACTGTGACCCAGAGCAGAGTGAGTGCTGGCATGGTAAATGGAGCAGGGACGTCTCAGGATGAGTGAATAAAAGAAAGCCAAGAGGCCAAGGGAGTACATGAGAAGCAGAATGCACACGGGTAGACAAAACATTATCTGATTGAAGAAAGCTGTGCTGGCTCTCCGCACTCAGCAACTCCAAGTGAACCAACAACTGTATCATCAGCATTCATCTTCTCAACTAGACTGAAACAGCACTATAGAGAGGAAAGCTCCTCTGTCTGACAGCCACTTCCAGAGATATCAATCATGGGAAGGTGAAATGTACCCTTTCTTATTCTCTTGCCTCAAATGCCCTGATTGGCTGTTTGACAAGATTTTAAATAGGAAAAATAATGGTATCACCTCTCATTAAGATCAACCAAAACAAAGATAATTCAGAAAAAGTCAGTCATTTCTTCTTCTATAACACTCTTCTATTAGGGAAGAAGGCATACAGTTACAACACCCAGAGCTGAATTTTTGAAGTGTGTATACCAGGCAGATATAGTTGATTCACTTCCAGTGGTTCAAACTGACTAATTTAAAATAATGTGTGCATCTTGAAAGAGGTAGAAAGCAAATAGAAAATCTCATGTGCATATAAACGCTTACAAAGAAAGAGAGAGAGAGAGACAGAGGTTATATATTATATAAACAGACTATTTCTGTGCCATACATTTATTCATACATAGCTCAGAATAAAAATATACCAAAAAATTAGGAATAAATTCCATCAACTGGCTAATACCTGACAATACTGAACAATTTTGGAAACTGCACCTAGGTTAACAATTCTATCATTAAATCTAATGCCTTCATATTGAATTGTTGTCTGTGTCCATACTTGGCACTCAGCAACTGGACACTATTCTTTTGAGCAAAGGGTTAACATCAGAGTTCGGGTTGTTTTAACATTCTAATCACCCAAGAGGGCAGCAATTAAACAATCAGGCCTTTAGGCTGAGTACTGGCCAGCAGCACACATGCCTATAATATATACACACAGAATAGCTTACATATACTAGGAGTACAGAAACCCGAATTCTGACTACCTTGGTCAAAATATCTGATACCTCCTACTCACATAATTTATGGCAGATCAGTTTGTATCTCTGAGGCAAAATTCCCTCACCTCCAAAAGCAGAATGAAATTAATTCTCATTTTCACTATCTCACGGGTATATAAGAAAATAAAATGCAAAAAAATAAAGGAAGCAGTCCTTTGACACATCTCTGAAAGCACTTTTCATTAGACTGTGTTCTTGGAGGATGAAGACCAAGAGTTATTCATTTTTGTAGGCATAGGGTTTGCTCAGTTAGTAGGCATTTAGTAAATACTTGCTAAAATAATACAAACGAAAATGAGGAAGTCACAGAGCCTTTCTCAACATAAGATATTACAATGAAGGAACATTACTGTATCTCTAAACGTGTCCAGATTTAGCCTATAAATTTGCTTCATAAATTCTATGTCATACTTATCAATCTTCCAAGAGACAGTGAATTTTAAATAAATTTAAATCCAAAGGCAAAAACTAACAAGCAACCTTCACAAGGGGTATTGACTATGCTTTTATATTATGCTTCTTCTAAGAAATTCCAGAGAGCAGACATTTTTGCAAATGAGCTTATTATAGAGATCATCTTTCTCCTCTTCATTTACTTGTAAAGTGACACTTGATAATATCATTGAACAATATAGTATACTTGAAAGTGTTTACATTAATGCCAGTCTTTATTCCTATTTTAAATTAAGTATAACTCAATATTTAAAAGTACTTGCCAGTCAGCAGTCCATTACAGGGGTCTGTAAACTATAGCCTCTGAGCCAAATCAAGCCCACTGTCCAAGAGTTAATGGATTTTTTATTTTCAAACAGTTGAAAAAAATCAAAAGAAGAACAATATTTTGTGACATGTAAAAATTACATGAAATTCAGATTTCAGTGTCCATAAATTAAATTTTATTGAAACACAGCCACGCTCACCATTTTCAAAATATTGCCTATATCTACTTTCATCTGATAGTGGCAGAGCTGAGTTGCTGCAACAGAGACCACATGGCCTGAAAAGTCTGAAATATTTACTGCATGACTGTTAACAGAAAACGTTTGCCAATCCCTGATCTGTAAGGAGAGGGCAGTGATACTGAAAGTGATAAAAGAATTGAGCCATGCTCCCTTGGACCATATCTTCTAAACTACCTCCTCATTCAGTGGCGAGCAGAGAAAGTGTCAGAAAGTACTCTACCTGCCATTGTCCTTGGGGGACCTGAAAATAAAAATCGAAAGTGTTAAGCAGAGTTTAAGAGTTATAATTGTCACATCATTCATCGAAGTGCAAGTTCTTAATATATTTCCTCTGAAATGCTTCCTTAAATGAAAATGCTTGCATAGTATCAGATGCTGGCAAATTCCTGTAGATTGAGGGAAGTGAGTAAAGGTGGAGAAAGTATTCTATTTTAAAATCAACAGTCTTTACTGTCTTTAAACTTTGTTAAAAATACTTTTTAAACAATTCCTATCAGGTTATCTCTTTACAAATAAACTTTTTCAGTAGATCAGCGGAGCACTCCAGTTGTTGGCATTAACAAAATTGGGAACCGTTTTTTGTGGACACAAGGCCTTATGTAGAATTAAAATAAATGAAAATAAAATCAACTGGTATACAGTACGGTGCTAAGGGGTTGGGAAAGGTCAGGGCTAACTAACTATAGGATATTGAATAGCCTTTAATATTTATTTATTTTATGTAACAGACACTTAACAGAGCTTCCCACAGGCCAGGAACTGTGCTAAGCATTTTACAGAAATTAATTCACTTAATCCTCATTACGATTATTAGGGACCACTAATATCCCCATATTACAGGTAAAGAAACTGAGGAACAAAGAAACTAAATAATTTACCTAAAGTATTTCAAAAGTATTCTTTAATAAAGCAGAATTAATAGGTAAATTGTCTTTTTCATACAAATAAGAAGTTAAGACTTGGTAATTTACCTAACACCATTGAGCCAGCAGTGCCAAAGGCAGGATTTGAACCTCGGCAGTTGCCTCCAAAGGCCATGTTGCCTTTCACTTGCTGCCCGATGAGAGAGGACTTCAAAGCCTCACATTCTCAGGTTCTCCTATGAGCTTCAGTCACAGCTGGAGAGAGTCTTCTGTGAAAAGTGCTGAGGTTGACCTGGGACACTGGTCACGGTGTGAGCGTAGGTGGAGGATCAACTGACCATGCCTATCCTCTCCCCCGCACCAATAACGAGCTGAGTGGCCTTAGGTAAATTATCTCAATTCTCTGTGCTCTGGTTTTCTTATCAGAAAAAATGAGGATAACAATAACTATCTCATAGCATGGCCATTGGGATTAAGTGAGTTAATATAGATATAAAGCCTGGCACGCTGTAAATGCTATGTAAGTGCTTTCTGTTACTTCCGGTAAACCCAGAAGCTGTGACCAGAATATGCCAAAGTTAAGATGTTGACGCTGTTAACTATGCTGTTAGGTTACACAGTGCCCCTGCATCCAATTGCTGGGCCCCAGCTATCACCCAATGCTCCAAACCGTCAGAGTGCTGAGTCTAGCACGGAAGTTCAGAGCAAGAGCTATAAACTTGGCTATTAGCCACTTTGCTTCAAAAGCCCTCCTCTGCTGCTAATTTACAAGCTCTCTGACTTTGGGCTAATACGTCATCCTTTTAAACCTGTTTGCTCCTCTGAAAGGATTGAAGATTAAGTGAGCTCAGGAATGTGAAGTGCCCAGTACAAAGTAGTCACTCAATAAATGTTCACAAGTACTATGCTTCGGGTCTTAAGCAGGGAAGAAATGTCTTAAAAAGAGGTCTCTGATGTACTCAGAACTGGTACGTGTGGAGCAAAGACGAATGCATCCCCTCCGGAGTGGCCTCACACCAAGACGTCACAGTCACCTCAGGCGAACACTGACAAGCTTTAGTAGGACGCTGAGGTCACATCTAATCTCACTTTTGCTTCCCCTTAGTGCCAAAAAAAAAGCAGTGTAACTTGTCCTCAGCCAGCTGGGGACACGAATTCCCAAGTTCTTACCCTGGCCCAAATACAGATCTACTATGTCTCCTTGAATGTATTATTTTGCCTTTTTCTAACTCAGTTTCCTCAGGTGACTGAAAAATGAGCAATAGGAATATGTATTCACCAGAAACAGCACTGAATTACAGCACTCAAATCATTTTGATTCACTGTTGTTAGAGTATATGTAATAGACACAGGAGGATATTCCATTGGAAATAAAGAGTGCTACCGAACATGTGCATTTTTAGAGGAAGTCTATTTACCTAAAGTCAAGTACACGAATGTCCTTGTAGCCTGGTAACCCAGAAAATGCATTTTCAACCTGTTAAAAACAAAAATAAAATTTATAACTATGTAGAAATGTGAAAAAGTACATAGAAAATAATGCTTTTAAGATTAGAAGCTAATGTGCACTGTTTACTATTAGAAGCTTACACATGTACATAGATACACATGGGTCAGAAAGTTATTAAGAAAATTATATGTTAGAAAACAATGTTAGAAAATGGTTTTTACCACACTGCCATATTTTTCTCTTTCATTTTGTCTTTTACAGTTTTACTGTGCTTTAACATTAATTTTTTTCCAAATTATAAAAAGCATACTTCTTATTGGTAAAGCACTGTTTTTTTCCCTTACATGATGAAATGTGGAAAAAAAGCATTAGTTACACAAGAAGCTGTAATAGCATTTTTAAATGTAATTGTTTGGATTAGAAATCTGGCCGCAGCACACACACTGACTGTCAGGTGTTCATTTCCCGTAAGTGTAAAGTGTCTGGTGGTGTCTGTTTCCTGTTCCTACAACACAAGGGAACTAACTGTCCACACAGTCACCACTAGGAAGAAATCTGCAGGCCTGGGTCTAGCGCCCCCCTTGTTGACTGGTTGTCACGAAGGAGGTTAAGAAGCAGTGACCGGGTTACTTAAGTCGTCAAAAGATCAATTTATGAGCCTCACATCTGCAGGAACCAGTTTTATTACTGAGTCTTTAAAATCCAGCTATGTAACTCAATACAAGCTTAGTGACTGGAGGGAGGAAAAAGAGTGCTAGACTGGACAAAGGGTCTAAAAAATAATCAGGTGATGCACAAAAATACATATTTTAACAAAATTGAAGACTTAATCCACAATATTTTAGAAGTTGGGATTTTCAGGAGACTGGGATTTTTCTAAAAAATCTTGGGTCACTGAAGATCTTCATGCTTTAAGGATAAAGAATCCAAACCCATGAAACTTTTTGGCCATAATAATACGCCTTCTTTATTCTCTGAAAGAGAGGAGAGTTATGATTCTTGGAGGGTGGGGCAGGATGGAATCTGCTGCACTAGGAACCTGAAGACGGAGTGCCAGCCGTCTTTGCTGGCAGAGTGGCCTTGCGCAAGTCTTCTTTTACAGAACTAATACTCACCGATCACATTGGTTTTTGTAAGATTAAAATGAACATAGCTGAAAGTACTCCACTAACTGCAAACTGCTGAACAACTGCATGTTATTATTACCACTAAACACATCTTGTTTGGGGCTTTGCCACCTCTTGAGTGTAAAAACACACAGGTATTCCAATTCAACACATCCAGTTAGCCCCTGCACAGGTGTCCAACTGTACTTTATTAACATCGAGATCAATAACAGGTACAATTTATTGAAGGACTGCTATGTGCCTGGTCCTTGGCCATATTACTTTTAACCCTTGCAACAATCCCAAGAGATACATATTTTCCCAATTTTACAGATGAGGAAACTGAGATGCTGAAATGTCAACTAACCTGCCCAGGATCACGCATTTGGTGAGTAAACTAATCAGAATTTATTCAACCCCAAATCTCTCTAACACCAAAGCCCATATTCTTCCCACTGAAGTACATGCCTCTTCTTCTTGCCCCCGACTCATTATAAATACGGTTTAGTGTTGAGACCAGGACTGAGAAAACTGTGAAGCTCACCACAATGTCTCACCTGAATTAAAATGAAGGGGACTCTGTATGATATAAAGGAAGGAACACTTTGAAAGGAAGGAGGAGACATGCTTTTCCCTTCTACTCCTAGAGGATGAAACGACGGTGAACAAGTTACTTGCCCTCCTGGGCCTCATCTGCGAAATGGAGAGGCTTACCCACATCAGCAGCCTGCAGAACATAAAGTGCTATGCAAGGACACTGTGCTGATAACCACGGCTGTGCTCAGGTACCGACACTCCTATGCCTACCACACTGACCTCTCCCTCTCTGATGTCATAGTTGGTGTTGTCCCAAGTTCATCTTATTCTTCTCATAAAAAACGAGTAATAGCTCCTCAACCTCAGTCCTCTCCAAGCAGGCTTTTTCCCTGTGCATCTTCCAGTTTTACCTGAGAAATAATACTGAAGGAAGGATCCCTACAACTGCACGCCGAAGGAAGAGAGCTGGAGGGCCCTTTCCGTTTGCAGCAAACATGGTGACAGGACCTCTCAGAGACACTACCCCTGACTCCGCTGCTCCACACAAAGAAGTGGCTATTGGTAGACATTTTATTCCAGGTAAAGGGACAGGGATGCAGACATAGGCCAGAGAAGAAAGTGATTCATGGTAGGCCCAGATTCTTCATCACCCTCAAATCACCTCAAGCCAATTGCTACCCACCTCATCAAGTCTCTGCTGGGGATGTTTTTCAGGGTGTTTATTAGACTTTCTCTAAATATGCGGTCATTCAGCACAATTGTTTACCCAAACACTGAGGCTTATTAAAGGTTGCTTAATCCAAGAGCAGAGAGAACCAGACAGCTGATCCAAGACACTATCTGATGCCAGGTGGCCACTGGCCTGGCTGACATTTCTTCCACATACCACATAGCCTCACAACTTGGCCACACAGCTAGGAAAATTGGTCATCTGGTCTATGCTCCCCACGTCTGAAGGCTGCAATGATGCTGTCTGGCTGAGAGACACACATTTTTATTTCTCACCTAGACACAGCGCCTAGGGAAAGGTAACAGAACTGAAACACTTGGCCAAGGAGAACCCCATCAAGAGGAATAGAAAAGAAACAAGCAGGAAGGAATGACGTGCCCTGTCATGAGACAGAGGGCAGATGGGCATTCCATGCCTTCCTACACAAGAGCAAAGCTGTCAAAGAAAGGGCCAAGGAGGGGCCATTTCTGGCTGAAAGACTCTTGAGTTCAAGTCCTATATAGAATTCTTCCAGAAAGTTGTGGGATGGTCTAATGCATGATTCTTTAAAGAAACTCCTTTTTTAAAAATACTTCCAACCAAGGAACAGAAATAGGAGGGAAATTTACTTTTCACGGGATGCCTTTCTGTCCTTTGAACTTGGTACCACGTATTACCTATGTGTTAACTGCTCAAAATTTTCCAATTTAAAAAAAGAATACTAAATATGAAATTAAAAGAAATTAAATTTAATGTTCCCTCAAGAAAAACAGTATACTGTATTTAGTTTCTCAAAGATGCTCATTTCTCCAAACAGTCAAGTTAAAACCAAGCCATAGCACACAATCTTCTCCAGCTGTGCAGGGAAAGTTGGAAATAGTGTTTATTTGTTAGCAGGTGGCAGATGTGTGAGAGATTTTGTTTCATTGAAATAATTAATCTGTCTTTCTGTGAACTTTTCACAGAGCTTTCTGAAGAATTGGCTAAGTCACCACCCCCAAACCAAGCAGATGGGGCGCTTAAATCCTAAACCTCCCTTTAACCAGCATAGTGAATGTGGGAAATTTACAACCCCAGAAAACTGTCTTGTTTATCAAAAAAACAAAAACAAACAAAAGAATCACCCACCTCTGAAACAAACTCTTCTACAAGATGCTGGTGGTGGAAGCTGGAGGGATCCTGTAGTTCTTCCTTGTATTGCTCCCCTAAAAGGTGGATACTGAATTCTGCAATCTGCTCAGCTGCTGGTTTTGTGGATTCTTCTATCACATTCTCAATTTCATTGCTAATCTGGATTTTTAGAGAAAGAACAGGAAATGTCAATGTTTACTCATTCAATCAACAAATATTTATTGATTGTCTACTATATACCAGATACTGTGCCAACAGCAACTTCTGATGATGATCTTTTATATAGTATTTGACTTTGTAACTAATTGAGTGGACTTTAAGACATAGGCTCATATTAATATTACTGTGCATTTGTACATTCCTTTGAACACACAATGACTGGTTCAGGGAAAGATAGAAGTTTCCACAGATAACCACCAAACTTGACCATCTGTGAGTAAAAAAAGTTGAATACACTAAAATTATCATCTAAAAATAGCCTAGAAGAGTGGTTCTCAAACTTTTTGGTCTTAGGATCCCTTTAAACTCTTGAAAGTCATTGAAGAACTCAGAGAAATTTGGTTTTTGTGGGTTATATCTATAGATATTTACCAAACAAAAAATTAAAATAAAAATTTTAAATATACATATTAATTCATTTAAAAATAATAATAAACTCATTACATGTAAAAATGAATAAAATATATTTTGCAAAATAAAAAAAGTAGTGAGAAGATTAACATTGTTTATATTTTTACAAATTCTTTAATGTCTGGCTTAATGGATGACAGCTGGATTCTCATATCAGCTTCTGCATTCAATCAGTTGCAATATGTTGTTTTCATTGAAGTACGTGAATAAAATCCAGCCACACAGATACGTATTGGGGAAGGAAGGAATATAGTAATAGCCTTTTCAGATAATTGTGGATATTCTTTTTAGATACTACACCAAGCTCAACAAGTGGTAGTTTCTTAAAGGTTAACTGCTATGTGGATTCCAAAACCATATCAGCAAATGTTTTGTTCTCCGTAACATCAAAATCCAGGTCTGCCAGTTGCCAAAGCTGGAATAACTTGAGCAACAAAATAAATATGGTATTATAATCCAAAGAATAAAATAAACACTCATGAGTCCATGCTGATATAAATAAATGATTTAAAAAATAAATGTGAGAAAAGTCACAATAGTTTCTTACAAAAGAATTATAATTAATAAATGTAGAGGGAATGAGGGGAATAGAATATCATTATTAAAACACTACAGTAATAATTGCTGCTCGCAAGATACACTGGAGCTCATCTAATCTAAGTTCTTCCATTTTGATATACCAAAAAAATAAGATTAGAAGAATGGCTAGCCTAATAAATATTTTTTAATGTTTTTAACGCATAAGTGCTTTGCAAGAAAGACAAGAAAACCCCAAGGTGGTCAAGAAAGATCAGAAGAATCCAGAGAGGTGACTCAGTGTTGCATGTATACATGGTGTATCTGCTGATCCCCGGCGACCTAGGCTTTAGTTGTAAATACAACAGAGGGATAGGATGCAAGGTGGAAGATCTGTACACATTAAAAAGTCAGATCAAAGAGTTCCACATAAAGCAAGGATTCTAAAAACTCAATAGACAGTTTGAACAACAAATTAGACTAAGCTGAAGGAAGAATTAGTGAACAAGGAGACATACTTGAATGCAACACAGAGAAATAAAGAAATTAAAGTTATTAAAGAGTGGTTAACAGACATGCGGGATAAAATGAGGTCAGACAATATATCTAATCATAAGAGATAACAGCTGAGAATTTCTCCTATACTGTATTTGAAATTCTGCAGTTTCACAAAAATGGGTATAGGAGTATATTTATGTTTATTTATTTTGCTTTGAATTTGTTGTATTTCCTTGGTGTGAGGTTTTATGTCTATCATAAATTCTGAGACATTCTCAGTTGTTATCTCTTATGATTATAGACAGATATAAGTAGACAGATACAGATATATCTTAAAAGTAGACAAAGAATACTTTTAAAGGAGGAGGAGGTCCCTTTTAAGGGTGTCACAATGTCCTGAAGCAAAAAAAAAAAAAAATCCATGCAGTTAAATTTGTTTATTATTTGTAGTTCATTGTGGATATAGTTACATTTAAGTTCACTACATCATAAACTGCACATAGTTAATTTTATTAATGAATAGTTTGCTTTTTCAAATAATCCTTTTTGTTGTCTGTGTAGAGTCCCAAGTTAAAGAATCCCTTGGGGGCAAGATTAGGAACAGTATTTGCTTGTCTGTGCCTTTAAGAAGTCTGGAATAACTTACAAGAACATAACAAAAGCAGTTACCCAATGGGGCATGGGGAAGAGGTGGTACAGAGACTAGAAACTGGAGAGATGGCAGGGAACAGGGTTGGGTGCGTCACTTTTCACCAATTATCTTTTATATTTATTATTTTTTGACCCATGTGAATGTGACATCTTTGAAAAAATAAGCAAATAAGCCAATAAAAGGACTTCAAATAAAAAAAAAAAAAAACAGACAAAACAGCCAGGTTCCCATAAGAGAATCACAACTGGACTGTAGCTGAATTCTCAGTAGCAACAACAAAAGTTAGAAGACAGCAGTTTTGTCAAAAAGCTTGACAAAAAGAGAGAAAACCTCAATCCAGAATTTAATACAGCTTTAAAATATTTTTCTAGAATAAGGGAATAATAAAGAAATTTGCAGGTGATCAAAAATTGAGAATGAATTCACTAAAGAGACTCTCACTAAAGTAATATCAGCAGCATATATTTCAGAAGGAAAATGATTCCAAAAAGAGGTCTAAAATGCAAAAAAGAATTTTAAGAAAACAAAATGGTAAACATCTGGGTAAATGTAAAACAAAACCTAACTGCACAATACAAATATAATACAGTCTAATTTGTGGGATTAAAAAGAGAACTAAAAGAGAGAAAAAAAGAACAAAAATCCTGGAAAGTAGAATACAAATCAGTAGAGTGATCATTTTAATTAGAGTGTTCTAATGCTCCTGCATTGCTCAGGATAAGGATAAAGATTTTGGAAAAACTTAAATTTTGCTAGATTAAATACAGATTTTAACTTACAATGTAACTACTAACAAAATAGAAATAAAGTATATAATTTCTAAAATGGTAGATGGAAAAATGTATTAGAGAAAAAACTGAACTATAAAACTGTACCCTGGGCTTCATTTTGAACTTCATTTGGTACAGGCAATCTAAATCTTGTTAGGTATCTATATCGTTTTGTTCTATAAATTGGCTTCAAAGCATCCTCTCTGTTTTGGATATTAATGTGCCAATTGATGACACACAATTCCTTCATTTCTATTATAGTGAATTCTATCTCATTCTATAAATGTTTCCAGACCTAAATCATAACTATTCTGTCTCAAGTTCAGAACTACAGTATCACTTTTTATTCATTTATTCTTTCACAAATATTTATCAAATGCCAATATTTTCTAGCACCATCTACTCTGGACACAGATGTAAGAGGGTAAGTATCGATTCTGGCATCCATTCAGGATGGATTCTGGCATCCATCACACCAACCTTGATCCAAGACGGGAGAGAGGCGGGGCAGAGTGGGCAGCTTAACCTGACTTCATATAAGTTACAATGTCCAAGTGGTGAAGAGAAGGAGCAAGTAACTAAATTGCACCTTTCTAGTGGATACGTTCAGTCAGAGTTTGCTGTATATTAAGTAATCTAGGACTTATGAATCTCAAAATTTTAAAATGCATATTTAACAAAATTTCTAACAAAATGTTTCTATCTTCCCAGGCAGTGTACACTTTTTTTTTTTAATCTGAATGTGACAGAGAGTCAACTTAATGTTATTTAGTGGAACAAGTTACTATTAATAATGATGCATTTGAAAAGCAAGGTGTTTCTTGATTTTTAAACTACACATAAAATCTATATCCTGTCCCTCTGAAGAAGAGAAGGCTAAGTCCTGATCTATTAAGGGATAGAAGAACATAGGTCAAAATCCCCATAGCAGATTGTCACATAGCCCACGAGAGACAGTGGGTTTACCACAATGACAGTTCCAGGCCCCAATTCATTTCATTTACAATTTGAAGCTCTCTCTCACCAAAATCAGATTTAATCGGCTCTCCAAGGAATGTGAGATTCTTTTCAATGTACTAGTTTCAGAATCCACAACATTTCCATAAAGGGAACCACACGAAGTCTTGTGTAGTCTGACAGTGGAATATAGATCTCTCTTAACCCCTGTTCTCCATGTTAGAAACTAAATAACAAAACAGAGCATCACTCACGCTCTCCTCCGGCCTCTCCAAGCTGCTCTCTGAAGCACCTTCATAAGAGGTCACCCCTGGGTATGGAACACTGAGAACAGCACCTAAGTAGAAAAACAAAAACAGGTGTATGAATTCAGTCCCTGACCAAGTCAGGTTCATATCAGGAAGTAAGGAACTGACCTCAAAACCATTCCTATAAGTCATGTGCTTTTTCGTCCTGGAAATTCTGTGCATTCTAACCTCAAGACGCATTTGCATAGAGTTTTCCCAGAACAAGAAATAATTCTGCCTCATTCATTCATTCAACAAGCATTTATTGAGTACCTACTATATGCCAGGCTCTATGCAAGATGCTGCGGACACAGACAAAGTCCCTGCCCTGAAGGAGCTCTCTAGGAAAGAGGACAGATAGTGAAAGCAGTAACACGACCAGAGAGGGGAAGTGGGTGAAGGCTGGAGACTGGCCATGAAATGAGAATTGTTGAAGCTGGGCCTCACTGTGCTATTCTGGCTATTTTTTGTACATGTTTGAAATTTCCAAAAAAGAGAAGCTTTTTAAAAAAATTAAAAATAAAGAAAGTAACTACCAATTTACGAAATACAGAAGTCAAAGGAACATGTTAGAGTATACCACAGAATGCAATCAGAAAAATCCTAACTCTGGGAAACCCTACAAGAAAAAGGACAGACAATGGGGCTAGAAGGGCCTACCTGTTGACATAAGCGGTAGGTACAGAGTGCTTGCCTGAAAATAATTCTTTAGGGCATTTGTTTTAAGCGGTTTTCTGACTTGTATTATGCTTAATAATTAAAGATTTTTAAGTACCCACAACAAAATGCCATAAAATAAGTGAAAAAATAATTACTTTTTCTTGAGACTCTTGAACAACATATATGGGGGGAGAAACATGGTATTTTTTAAATGTGAGCTGAAAAATGTGCTTGCTTGCAACATTGTCTTAAACCATAAATAAATTAAAAAGAAAAGTGAATAAAAGCACAAAAGCATACTTCTCAATGTTGAGGTATCACCAACAGGAACCGGAGACGACAATTCAGGGCTAGGAAAAAAAAAAAGATGATTGTAGTTAATAAAATGATAGAAATATGCGGGTGCATTTGTGTTTTTTTTCCAAAAAGGAATTCACTAGCTCTCCAAAAAAGGGTTACCAAACCAAAGTACCGGGTAGCAAAATACTAAAAAAAAAAACAATAGTCTTCCTAATTCATTTATTTAACACTTATTGATTCCTACCCAACTAGAATCACCTACATAAAGTACTCCCCTACCTACTATTTCATCACCCTGTTTCATTTTTCTCAGTTCTTATCACTGTCTGAAATTATTTTGTTCATTTATTTATCTATTTCTTCATCTCTATCTCCAACCCCGTAATCCTCTAGAATGGCATTGTCCAATATGGTAGTCACTGGACATATATGGTGATTTAAATTAACTAAAGTTAAATAAAGTGTAAAATTCAGTTCCTCATTCACACTAGCCACATTTCAAGTGCTCAAGAGTCACATGTAAAGAACAACATAGTAAAGAATATTTCCATCATCACAGAAAGATCTACCGAACAGAATTGCCTTAAGAAGCTAAACTCCATGAGATTAGGGACCTTGCCTGCCTTATTCTTGCTGTATCTCCAGCCTAAACAGTACCTGCCATTTAATAAGCATTAAATAGATATTTTTGAAATGAATGAATAAATAAACACTATTGGCAAAGCAGTGTAGAAGACACTTGGCATATAGTTGTGAACAAAATGCCCACGGTCCACGCAAGTTACCCTACTACAGAAAATAGACACCAAATAAACGACTACAAATGCAACAAGTAGTGCAGACAGGAAAGTACCAGCTGCTAAGGGGAACATATAAGCACAAATCTCATCTCATTTGACAGACCATAGAAACCATAAGTTTTTTACATAAAGAAAGTCAAGCATACAGAAACGACTTGCTGTAAGCCACACAGCTTACAGGCTTCAGGTCTCCCAACCATCCTTTAACCACGCCACCCTGCAACTGCAAGCACAGATCAGAAAATAATCTGAGAAAGCCCCCCACTAGGAAAGTGGGTGTCTGCAAGTCCAAATTTCCATACACTCAAAAACATGAAATTTAAATTCTAATAAGTTTTAGAACTTTAAAGTTTACATGCATGTCCTAAGGGGAAAGGGCTATTCCATTAACTTTTGTCAAAGGAGCTGGCTGGTGATTACATCAGTTTTCAACTCATAGCAATTGAGAACTCTCTTCAACTTTACACAGGTCAGCTTCCTAAGGTGATTCCATCACAGTCAAAAATGTCTCCCTCCCAGACTTGCCCATGTGCCAGTGAGACCCATCTTCAGAACCACTCCTTTAGACCAGCCTGCTGCTCTAAATTAGGTCATGGGGGCCGGGGGGGTACTCAAAGCCACAGATAAACCTGGCACATATCTTGAAGTATCAACTCTTGAAGCATAGGCAGGTGGGGAGCTAAATAACAACTGATACATAATTTAAAATATTTAATATTAAAATAAACATGGCTATATTATGGATAGAATATAAAGTTTAAATGAATATTAAGGTAAAATAATTCAAAGACATTTCATGACTAAACTGGAGTGGGAGAGTCAACTAGGGCTATGTTCCCGAAACCCCCAGACTTTGGTAGAAAATTTGAGAAACACAGATTGAAAAAAAACAAAAAACTCACCATAAAGACTCTTCTGGTTTTTAAAAATACTATTTAGAAAGAATAACATATTAAACCATTACACCAAACCTATCACTATTGGTTATTTGTAGTGTGTTTGCAGGAAATTGCTCACTAAGTGAGCTGTCATTTAGAAGAACCTAAAGGAATATGACATCTGAATTAAGTCATTACGATGAGTGACAAGCGGAGGAAGACCTCGGTGATGAGAAAGCATCAAGAGGCTTCTTAGGTTGCAGGAAGTGGAGATAAAAAAATGAGATTCAGATGCATTTGGAACAGACATTAACATAACCAGGCCTGAATAGGGTCTATCAACTGTCCACAAGGCAGAACCTCTTCCCAACACCTTCATTTTACAGATGAAAAAACAAGGCCCAAATGGGTAAAGCAATTTTCCCAGGGTCACACAGTGATTCTATATGCCCAAGGCCATACCTAGAATTCCTAGCTGTATCCAGTTCTCTTTTCAATAATAACAACAGCAAGAATGATTACAACTAAATTTACTGAATTCTCATCATGTGTCAAGCACTGTGCTAAGTGGTTTATCTTGGTTAACTCACAATGACCTGAAGAGGAAGATACTATGATCCCCATTTATACAGATGAGAAAACTAATGCTATAAGGGGTTTAGAATTTGGTCAGGGTCACACGGCTAACCAATGGAGGACCTGTGATGTGAAACAGGCCCATCTGATTCCAGAAACCTCACTCTTACCCACCTTAATTCCTCACAACATGGCCTTTATGTGACCCATACTCTCTAGAAGGGCAACCAGGATGGTTTCACTTTGTCTTAATGAAAGTGGCCTACATAAACTAAATGACCTAAAAGTCAAAGTATGTCAGGTCCCAGAAAGGAAGGGAAACCCACTCAGAGCTGGAGAGCTATGGAGAACAAGCAAGTACAAAGAGCAGAGAGGTCAGGGGCCAAGCACCACACGGTAACTAGAACAGTAAGTTGAGAGACGTGGCAGAGAAACCAGACCTCATCTGGGGTTGGTCAAATTGTCCCCATATCAAAATCAAATTTAAGCTAATTCTCTAAGTGAGCATTCAGAATGGAGAAGTTTGCTTACTTCAGGAGAACTAGATTTCACTTCCTGAATTCAAAAGAACATTATTTTAATGACGGTAAGTAGGCAACTCTCAGTAAGTCCAATCACTTGTCTAACACTCCAACACTGAATCCCTCACCCTCCCACTCCCCTTTCAAAGACAGTAAAGAACACTTAAGAATCCTTGCACGTATTCTCATTAGGTATGCCTCCTGCAGGGATCCCCTAAGACGTCAGTCACAACAGAACTAGAACAGAGTTGTATTGAGCTTGGGGACAGAAATGCTACTTCATTTCTATGCCAAGCCACAGATTTGAAGCTGTTCAGCTAAGACCTTTAGCTTAATACCAGCAGTAAACAACCTCCTATTATCTCATTTCCTCAGCTCATTTAGCACAGAACTTATTCCTCATCCCTATTGTCTAATCACATCAGTGTAATTCAGGTGAGATTGTGTCAAAAGATAACATAGCCACATGGAACATAAGTTTAGAAATATAGTGAAACAAGCCAAGCATAATTTCATATCTAGATTAGTACTTCCCTTGACAATTTTCTATACTTTGCTTCGCTCTTGAATCTGCTAACTGTAATCAGCACGTGACAACAAAAGAACTCAACACACAGAGCCCAGAATCCTGGGTGCTAGTCCCAAGTGTATCATTAACTCTGTGCATGACTTGGGAAAATACTTCTGTTGCTCTGGGCCTCAAGAACCTCATCTCCAAAACAGGAACACCACCCCACCTTACCTATTTCATAAAGGTGTTGATGAAAACTAAAGAAAATATTATGTACAGAAGCATTACGAAAGGTACGAAATGCTAAACAAATATAAGAAAAAACAGGGGTTAATGAAGCAGTGACACATGTCATCCCAAACAGAATAAAACATTTGATTAAAAAAAATGGATATCTGCCTTTGTGATCTACGATAGGCATCCTCAACTAAAAATGTAAGTTAACTGAGGTACCAAAAAAAAAAAAATCCCAAACAACAGTCCTTAAACTGAGAATATCACCAGAGACCTGACAATAGACTTGGGTGATTGAGCAGAAATTCAGTTATTCATTTAACAAATATTTAGTGAGCATATATCCTAGGCCAGGCCTTGCCCTGGTCACTGAAGACACAACAGTAAGCCCAGACGGCAGCGGTTAAGCAGTGATGGAGCTAAGTGGAGATGCTTTCAAGACATCTGGCTGTAATGGAGACAAGTGCTGGAGGAGGGTCTTTTGTAAAACAGGAAACATGGGAGAGACTTGATTATGTTGAAATGCTAATGGGAAGGAGTTAGTAATGGGACAAGTTAAAGACTTAGGAGAAAGAGAAACGATGACAGGCAGAGATTTCTAAGAGGTAAGATGGGATGTGGGGTCGTGAGGTGGAAAATGCTTTTTTTAAGAGATGTGGCAGACGACAGTAGGGGAAGCTTAAAATGGCACCTAGAAGAGTATTTAGTGCAGATCATATGTCAGCAGATAGGTTAGAGTTCACATAGAAGGCACAATTTAAATTACAGAGAAGAATTGTGGTAAGCAGAAAAGTGGCCTCCCAAAGACAACCACATCCTAATCCCCAGAATTTGTGAATACAGTATTCACAGGGGAATTATGATTGCAGATGGAATTACAGTTGCTAATCAGCTGGTGTTAAAATAGGGAGTTAATCCTGGTTTATCCAGGTGGGCCCAATGTAACCATAAGGACCCTTAGATGTGGAAGATGGCGGGAGAGAGTGTCAGTGCAATGGAATGTGAGAAAGACTCAACCGGCCATTGCTAGCTTGAAGATGGAAGGAGGTCTTGAGCCAACCAATGTGGGCAGCCTGTAGAAGTTGGAAAAGGCAAGAAAACAGATTCTCGCCAAGAGTCTCCAGAAAGGAACGCAGACCTACCAAAACCTTGAGACCCGTGTCAGACTTTTGAACTACAAAACTGTAAGATAAATTTGTGTTGTTTTAAGCTACCAAAGTTTGTGGTAATTTGTTACAGCAGCAATAGAAAACCAATACAAGAATCTCTTAACACAGAGAGAATACGAGAGTAATCTCAAAAAAATCATAAAAATAAATTTGAATATAGAAAAGTGATGGGAATATTAAGAATTTTAGGGGCTGGCCCTGTGACGTAGCAGTTAAGTTTGCGCGTTCCACTTTGGCGGCCTGGGGTTCACTGGTTCGGACTCTGGGCACAGACATACTCGTGGCTCATCAAGCCATGCTGAGGCGGCGTCCCACATAGAAGAACTAGAAGGACCTACAACTAGGATATACAACTATGTACTGGGGCTTTGGGGAGAAAAGAGAAAAAGAGGAAGATTTGCAACAGACATTAGCTCAGGGCCAATCTTCCTCAAAAATAAAAAAATTAAGGGTTTAATGGATCACCATAGTTCTCAAGCTGGAGAAAGATGGGCTTAGGGAATCCTTAGGCCACTCACATAGTTCCACTCCCCATGGTACCTGATGCCAGGTCACCCCCTTTCAGCAACAACCACAGGCAGCAGTTTTCACCCTACACCCACCTGGTCTGCTCTAAGTTTCATGCAGAGGATACAAACTTTAAAATTCTCAAAATTCACTTATATTTTAGTTCATGTGTACTGTTATTTTTATACAGGCCTTATTTTCTAAGAATAGTGGATAATATTTTGAGTTCCCTATTGTACCTAGTAGCCCTGGTGGTCTAGTGGTTAAGATTCAGCACTGTCACCGCCGCGGCCCAGGTCGTGTACCAGTCAGGGTACCCCACCACCCATCTGTCGGTTGTCATACTATGGTGACTGCATGTTGCTATGATGCTGAAAGCTATGCACCAGGATTTCAAATACCATCAGGTCACCAATGGGGGACAGGCTTCAGCAGAGCTTCCAAACTAAGTCAGACTAGGAAGAAGGAACTGGCCACCCACTTCTGAAAAAATTGGCCATGAAAACCCTGTGAATAGCAGGAGAGTATTGTGTGATAGAGCGCTGGAAGGTGAGAGGATGGCACAAAAAGATGGGGCAGGGTTCCATTCAGCTGTCCACAGGGGCACTAGGAGTCAGAATCCACTGGATGGCACTAACAACAAATTATAGCTAATACAGGCAGTGCCTTATCAATAAAAATATATGATACAGTCAATTCTGCTATGATGCTTATTTGTGAATGTGTTCCAATGTGATTAACATGCTAGGAAACAATTGAGCATAACGCAAATTTCTCCCTTTCTTATATGCAATTTCGTTGTGAGAAATACTTGGTGAATACAGAAAACTTCACCCAGCTGAAGTGAGCCATATGGGAATACACAAAACACACACGCAGTGCAGCTCAAACACCTTTCAGCTACCCCAGTGTTATGAGCCACACTCACCCTCATACAGTGTTACAAGTTTCCATCCTATTTCAGATAACCCTCCCTCCACCACTTCACTGTAACTCGCAAGCTACGACCTTTCCACTTCCACAGCAAACTTCAGAGCTTCTTCCAGTTAAGTGTTAGGGTATTTATATACTTCTCAACCATATAAGATGTGTAAAATGTGCTGTCATTTTCATTAGGTACAACCATGAAGATTACTGACACTGCTGGGACTCTGCAGAGTATTTAGTCCCCTGCCCATGTGTTGCAATGGCCTCCGAGCTCTGCCCCTCAGTGGTGAAGAGCCCACACCTGAGAAACCACATGGTCCCACATCTAAGTGGTGCTGAATCCCAGGCCCTGGCACAGACTCACGGTAACGCTAGCTGTATGAATGAGGGACACCACACAGAGCCCACTTCCCTCCTGTTCACACACGCTTGATGTGAAACCTACTATACCCCACTCCCACCCTCAAGTGTACTCCAGCTGTGATTTGCCTGGACTCTGCTGCCCAAGCTGATTTCTAGACACTGACTCATCTACTTGGTTTTTCTATCTGTCCTGCCCTCTAATTTGAGGCAAAATTCTGGACTCTGACCTCATTGTATGCCTAGTGGTGCTTTTCTATATAATCAGCCCCATGCTGGCATAATCTAGATATTCTGAGTATGGACAGAACTGGAAATCTTTAGCCCCTACAGGCTCAAAATTCCTCACCTTCCATGATCTGCTTTTTACTGCTACTTCTCAGGAGCCAGAAACGACCTTAACCCTAAGCCTAGAGGCCAGTAGAGGCAAGAATCATAATACTGGAGGACCCATCAAGGTTGTGCCCTTCCTGTTTCAAGATCATAACCATCACTACTCGATAAGTGACCCACACCACCACCCATCATTTTATAAACTATCCTCCACTAAGGTGTACCATTTCATAACAATTTTAGTATTAGTCCGTAAGCCTCAGCAACAGATCATTCCATATTCCATTTTCAGAAATCTATTTTCTCACCCAAGAGAGAGGAACAAGGCTGTCTGCTGCTAAGATCAGACAGTAAACAAGCACCGTGGCTGTGGTGGTGGTCTTGAAAGGCAAGTGGCCTCAAGACGAGAAAAAGCATTTGGCACTTACCCACAGGCCTGGTCACTGCAGGAACTGGCAGGAAAATAGAAAGGGACCATTAAATTTGGGATGAGTCTTGGAGGAGGTAGGACACATCTCTGTGGCCAAACATGAACTCAGGGAAAAAAAGACACTCACCTGCTTACAGTTTCCTTTGTGTACGTCAGTTTCTAAGGAAAACAAAGATAAAAATGACTGTGTGAGTAGGTGACAGTTATTAAGCAATAAATAAAACTTATTACATAGAGAACACTAATGCCCTAACATTACAGAATCTATGTTGTTATTCTCTCTGGTTAGACACATAATTAAAGCAAGGTATTAATGATGCCAAGTTTGTTTTGTGACTGTGGGAACATCCAACACTCAGTTTCTGTTTATGGGCCCAAAAGTTCCTGTGCTCTCTCTTAATGGGCACAGATCAATGGACTTTACCTGCTAATCATTCTGAAAAGGTCTACAAGCTAGAGATTGGCTGAGTTTTACATTAACCTTCCATGGACATAGAATCAACGTATTTTGTGATATAACATATTTATAGAAACTCTCATCCTAGAATAATATAAGCACGTGGATAAAATAACTGCTAAGTCTGTTTCTCCAGAATTCAGACAAAAAGATAAATTGTATCAACAATTGGATTATTCCTCTGGGGCATTCCAAAGCAAATTGTCCCCAAGTTTCCTCTAAATTAGTGGTTTTATTTTGAGACCAGTTATGATAAAAAGAACACGAACTTGGAAACAGAAGACCTAGTTTCAAGGCCCATTTTCTCTTGTTTAGCTATGGAGGCAAATCCCAAAATCTCTCTGGTGCCAGGCCTCAATTTCCTCACCTGCAAAATGGGGAGACCACTACTTTAAATAATTCTCATGATATTTATAAATAACTCACTGCTCTTCTTCCTCTACAGAGTCTCCTGTAATAATCTCAGCCACTCTTATGGTCAATTACTACCTCATGGCTGGTGATTCCTATAGCTATCTTTATAACCCAGACCACTCTCCTTGGCTTCACACCCAAATATCAAGCAGTTCACATTTCACAGATGGCTTGAAACAACACATTCAAGAATGAACTCATTCTCCTCTGTCCAACATCTACAAAGCTGCTTCTCTGCCTGAGTTCTCAATCTCAGTCATCCAGCTAGAAACTGGGACACTTCTTGAGCCATTCTTTCATCCAATCCCACTCCTATCTCATCCATCACAGAGTCCTAGTCATCTCTTTTCCTACTTATATTCCTCATACTCCCTTTCTCAGTCTCAAGGTCTAGTTAGGACCCTCCTCCTCGGCGTGGAGTAGTGACCGTCTCTCTGCTCCAGTCTGGTCCCCTCTCATCCACCCTGTGGTGTACAGAAACCATAATGACCTTTTTAAAATTCAAAACTGTCCAATCAGCCCCTGTGACTTACCTACAATCCTTCAATGATTTCCTGTCATCCACAGAGTTAAATCCAAACTTGTTAAGTTACCCACTTTTCCAGTCTGATCTCCTGTCACTGCTAGTCTCCTCTTCTGCTACATCGGCCCAAGTCATTCCCTACAAACACTTGGCTCGTGCTGTCTCCTCTGCCTGGAATATCCATCCCCAACTCCTCCTCATCTAGCTAACTTGTACTTGTTATTTAAGACTCAATACAGGCAACACATCACTCCCTTTGTCTGCATGTTCTAGTGAATAATCTTTGAAAGTATTTTTCTTATGCCTTTACAGCTTAGCTTACTAAAAGTTCCACTTGCAAGAGACACCTTCCAATGTAACATCACAAGAGGCTGTTGTCATGGTAATACTAACTCTACATCATATATATTTGCTGCTATATCAGTTGATCCTATATTGTGGACACAAATGAGATGCACAATGCTGGTATAAATATAAATATGTATATCTGTGTGTGTGTAGGTATGTATTTTTTTTCTTCGAATAGCTATTCCATATTAGCCACTGGAATTTGCAAAACTGTTGATTGAGAAGGGAGGCCCAATGGCATAGGGGAAAGATCATAAATTTTGGAAAAGAGAACTGGATTTGGATCTAAGCTCCCACCCATCTGGTTTTGTGATCTAGGATAAGGAATTTAATAACTCTGATGCTTATAGTGTCTTATCTATAAATTGGGGACTTTACTACCACCTTGTAGTGTTGCTGTTTATTAGATATAATGTTTTCAATGGACTTAATACATGGCCTGGTACATGGTAGATAGTGAATAATTGGTAACTATTCTCATAATTATTATACTGAGCAGTTAAAAATGTGACAGAACAACAAAATGCTGAGGTACCATAATTAAAAGTTGAGTTCTTTTTAAAACACACAAAAACCTGCACACCTTCAAAGTGTTCATAACCCTGAAAAATTTTCTTGGGTCCACACATGTTTATCAGGCCATCCTTCTCTCCCCAACTTGCCTCCATTTAATGAGATCATCCCTCCGTAGGACCAAATGTTAAAAGAAATTAATAGCATGCCCGTACTAGAAATAAAATTTTAAAAGTAGAAGGAACAGGACAATATATTGTATTACTTTAAGATGTACTAATATAATTTTATTAGACTCAAATAAAAATAGCTCAGAGTCATTCAGTCAATAATTCTTTCCTCAGTCTTTCTAAGGTATGTCATACTTAGAACCAGTATTTAAAATAATATTTATAAGGTTTATAAATTGCAACAGATAGGAAAAAGACATTGCAGCTATTGCTTATGTACTTTTATTTCAACAATATCTATTGCATATTTACTTTATCACAAAAATGCAAAAGTAAACAAATAAAGACATAATCCTTGCCCTTCAGCTCACAGTCTAGTAGAGGAATTAGTCCCATATACAACTAATAATAATAAAAAGTAAGAAGTACAACACTAAAGAATGAAGAAAGAATTATGGGAGCTAAGTCTGCTAGGCTGGGGTGATTCCACACAAGAGAGGTCACATCTGAGCTAAGAACAGGTAGACCTTGAACAGATGCACAGGGAGATACAGGACACATCAGACAGCATGAGCAGTTTACCACAAATATCTAAGCAGTTTCATTTTCTTGTCATGAATACATGCATGCAACATGAAAAGGGGAAAGTGGGCAGGTGATTTGTCTATATGCATGCTTATTTATCCTTTGCTAAGAATAAACTAAGTCTAAAACAAGGTAAACAAGTAAGCAAATTCATTAAGTACAACCATATTTATATTTTACTAAACATTTATTCAATGAACATCCTCTCTCTTAATTAGAGACATTGGCATCCACTCTGAATTGATAACATGCAAAACTTTGGCAAGAATGTTTGACTTGCACAGATTAATATTCTGAGCCTAAATCTTTGCTGAGTATTATTTCCAAATACTTACACTTATTAACAAGCCCGAGCCTCTTACTGGGTTAACTTGTTTACTATAATGGCCAGAGCTGGGGCTACAGAGACTAGGCCATGCCCTGTGGCAGCTCACTCAAATAGCCTAACTCAACACAAAAAAGCAATGCAGGGGACTGAGCACATGCTCTTTCTTCCTTTAGGCCTTCGCTGTTTACAGGCGCCCCTACCATAGTACAGCAATTCCTTCCCTTGTTACTACACTTACCTTCATAATTAAGTCTCTGTGTTCCACAGACTGACTAAAATTTGCGGCCATTTCAAATATCGTTGTGACTCCATCCTCACACAAATTCATCCAGTAACGATATTCCTCACGCCCAGGAAGTCGATCCCAAAAAGTCCTAAAGGCTTCCCAGACAGCTTCCTGACACACTGGAATACAGATAGAGAGGTATTTTTATGGAAAGCTAACGCACTTTGGGCTTCTCACAATGCTCACAGACCAGTTTACTCAATTCCCAAGACACTCTCGCCCACAGCGCCCTAACTGGAGGGACCTGGGAATGATTCTCAAAGTCCTTCTGTTTATGTCTGTCCTATTTAAACTTTTCAGATCTGAAGAGAATTTGTACTCCTCACTCCTTTCTCTTGCAATGGGAACTGATTCACCACCTAATTTTCCATCTCTTAAAAAAAAAAAAATCCATGTTTATGCTTTACAAAAGTGGAGCTGATGTTGAGTACACTTCGACAGGTGAATGGATAAATAAACTGTGGTACATTCATATGATGGAATATTATTCAGCGATAAAAAGACATGAGGCTTCAAGCCATGAAAAGACATGGAGAAGACTTAAATGGAGTATTGCTAAGTAAAAGAAGCCAATCTGAAAATGCTACATACTGTATGATTCCAACTATATGACATTCTGGAAAAGGCAAAACTATGGAAATTAGAAAAAGATCAGTGGTTGCCAGGGGTGCGGGGAGGGAGAGAGTACAGTGGATTTTTAGGGCAGTGAAGCTACTCTGTATGATACTGTAATAGTGGATACATGTCATTATACATGTGTCAAAACCCATAGAACGTACAACACAGTGAGGTAAATCCTAATGTAAACTATGAGCTTTAGTTAAGAATTTAGTTTAGTTAACGTGTCAGTATTGGTTCATCAATTGTAACAAATGTACCACACTAATAAAAGATATTAACAAGAAGGGAAAATGTCAGGGGTGGAGGAGAGTAGCAGTATAGGTAACTCTCTGGCTTCTCTGTGCCATTTTTCTGTGGACCTAAAACTTTTCTAAAACATGAAATCTATTAATTAAAAAAAAAAGATAGGAGGGCAGGCCCAGTGGCATAGTGGCTAAGTTCACACACTCTGCTTCAGTGGCCCAGGATTTGCAGGTTCAGATCCTGGGTGTGGACCTACACACTGCTCATCAAGCCATGCTGTGGCAGGCATCCCACATATAAAGTAGAGGAAGATGGGCATAGATGTTAGCCCAGGGCCAGTCTTCCTTAGCAAAAAGAGGAGGATTGGCAACAGATGTTAGCTAGGGGCCAATCTTCCTAACAAAAAAAAACAAAAAGATAACGAGAACTAAAAAGAAAAGACAATGATATTCAGGAGAAAAGTACTGCTGTATTAAAAACTAATTCAATGTATCTGCTAAGTTGTTTCAAAGCATCAAATCAGAAAGGGTGCTAACCAGCCTGTATGCACATTTTGTGCAGAGAGCACTGAGCGTCCTGCTATCCTGTACCATTTCAGTGGCCAGATGCAGGACACTGTGGACAACAGACAGATTGGGATGGGAGGGAAAAGGCGGAGAGTGGTGAAGGAGAAAGAAGGATAAAGGAACAGAGATCAAGGAAATTCCCTGTCATCTCAAGAAGACTGAATGCTTATCCAGGAGCATATTGAGGTGGAGCCCCTGACGTCAGAGTTGAAAGATCTAAATTCCAGCCCTAGCCTCACTGTGTACTAGCTTCACAACCACGAGTAACTCGCCAAGCCATTCAACGCTTCAGTGTACTCATAATTACTGCCCTACTTACAGTATCTGTGAGAGCATTTTATAAACTACACAGTGCTACATGAATATCAAACATTATCATCATATTGAATTCTGGTTGTCTGACAGTTGTTTGATGGAAGAAGATAGTCTGAGCCAAAAAACAACTCCTAAGCTTTATCAGAGAGTAAAATATATGAATATTGAGAGTTTTTCTATCGATTGATTTTTCAGGGTTAAACTGAACCTTTGGTTGCAAACTTAGCTTCTCTTTCAGTGAACTAACTGCATCCTTATTTCTGCTTTTTAGAATTTCTGATCCTACAGCACACAGAAGAGTCCAGCAGGGACTGGCTGAGGCAGAGCTGACCACTTGTAGATTCATAGTTCTTCCCTTCTACTTCTTAGAACTTCCAAATAAAAGTTTAGCACACACCAGAAGACAATGCAAAGGTGAAAGTCTGGGTTGGTAAAAACAAACAAAAAGTAAACGTCTATAAGGTCTGGTTATGAAATGAGGTGATTCAAAGAAGGTACAAAAAATATTGTGATACCAAATAACTGTATATCTATAAGAAAAGAAAAAATAAATCTCAATAACTTCTTCACAATATATACAAAAAAACCTGAAATATGAAAATAATATGAAATTTGAAACATCGAAATATGAAAAAAAATTTGAAACCATTCCATCTGGCTGCTGAAATGGTTACAGGATAGCAATGCTCACTGCTATACCAAATGTGCAGACAGCCTGGTTAGTACCCTTTCAAATTTGATGCTTTGGAACTAGCTTCAAGCTAACACTATGAAGGTCCTAAAAGGAAATACAGAAGAGTATCTTCATGACTTGAGGATAAGCAAAGATTTCATAGACAGAACACAGAAAGCAACAACTATAAAAGAAAAAAAACTGAAATTAGAATTCATCAAAACTAAAAACTTCTACTCATCAAAGGTACTATTAATATAAATGAATAGGCAAGCCATACCTCTAGCAGAACATATTCAAAAGACATACATCTGACATGGAACTGGTATTTAGAATATTTAAAGAATTTCTACAGCTCCCTAATAAAAAGATAACGAATCCAATTTTAAAAACATGTAAAAGATTGGAACAGACACTTTGCAAAGGAAGAGATACAAACAGCCAATGAATACGTGAAAAAGTACTCACTATCATTGATCTTCAGAGATATGCAAATTTAAAGCATTCACACATGAACCAGAACGGCTGAAATTTTTTACATGGACAACACCAAATCTTGGCAAGGATGTGGAGTATTCGGAACTCTCATTTTTGGTGGGAGTATAAAATAGTACAACCACTTTGGGAAAAAATACTGGTAGTTTCTTATATAACCAAATATACACCAAACCTATGACCCAGCAATTCCCCTCCCAGGTATTCCTTCAAGAGAGAGGGAAGCACATATCCACAGAAAGACTTATGTTCAATGCCAGAGCAGCTTTATTCATAGCAACTTAAAAATGAAAACAATCCAGGTATCCATCAACGGGAAAATAAAAAAACCATTGGTCACACAATGGAGTCAAAAGGAACAAATTACTAATTCATGCAACAAGGATGAATCTCAAAAAGCTGAGTGAAAGAAGCCTTATACAAAAGAGTACATACTATTCTGTTTATATAAAGTCCTAGATAGGTGAAACAAAGCTATGGTTTAAAAGAATTAGAAGAGTGGTTGCCTGGTGGATAGGGGTGGAGGAGGATGATTGGGAAGGGGAATAATGGAACTTTCTGGGGTGATACTGTCCCAAAATTTAAGAGAGGTTTGGTTTACACCAGTGTGTGCATTAGTCAAAACTCACCATATGGTATGCTTAAGTTTACACATTTCACTCTATTTAAATTTCACCTTTAAAAAAGTAAACAAACATTAAACTCTAGTTAATGATATTCATGCTGAAGTGTCCTGGGGAAATGTACTGATGTCTCTAACTTATGAAACACATCTAAGAAATAAGATGGTTGGTCAGATAGATATGTGATAAAGCAAACATAAAATGTTAACCACAGAGCTAGGTTACAAGAAACGCTCAAGAAGCTCCTCATGCCTACAAAAAAAAGAGAGAAAGGGGATACAAAGCTTTGAGCAAGGAGAAAAATAGGTAGACAAAATCAGAAAAATTGTAACTCTCTATCAGAATAGGTCAGAGAACAGTTAATTATAACATCAAAGATTAAGGGAAGGAAAACACCAAAAACAAATATAATGTCATCACTCTAAACACAAACTCACAACACAAGATGGAATAAATTGTGACAATAATAACTTACAAGGGAAAGAGGAAAGGGATGGAATTGACTTAGTCTAAGGAAATAAGAGGCCATCAGAAAATCTCACCTATGAGATTTTTTATACAAACCTCGTGGTAACCACTAAACAAATAAACAGAACAGAGACACACACGATAAATAAAGAGAAAGCTAAGAAAACCATCACACAGAACCACAAAATTGAATTGGCAGTCCGAAACAGGAGATGAGAAACAAAGCAAATGCAAAAGAACTGAAAAATGAGTGATAAAATAGCAACATTAAGCCCTTATATATCAATAATCACTCTAAATGTAAATGGATTGACTTCTCCAATCAAAAGACACAGAATGGTGGGATGGATTAAAACACAAGATCCAACAATATGCTGCCTCCAGGAAACACATCTCAGCTCTAAAGATAAACACAGGCTCACAGTGAAAGGATGGAAGACGATAAACAAAAGATAATGGCAAACAAAAGAAAGCAGGTGTTGCCATACTTATACCACACGAAGTAAACTTCAAGATAAGAAAGATAATGAGAGATAAAGAGAGCCAATATATAATGATAAAAAGGACACTCCACCAAGAAGACATATCATTTATAACTATATATGCACCCAACACAGGAGCACCAAAGTACATAAAGCAACTATTAACAAACCTAAAAGGAGATATTAACAACAACACAATAATAGTAGGGGATCTTAACACCCTACTTACATCAATGGACAGATCATCAGACAGAAAGTAAATAAGGAAACAGTGGACTTAAACGAAAAACTAGACAAGATGGACTTAATAAATATACAGAGAGCACTCCATCCAAACACAGCAGATTACACATTCTTCACAAGAGCACATGGAACATTTGCAAGGATAGACCATATTCTGGGAAACAAGGCAAGCCTCTATAAATTTAAGAAGACTGAAATCATAACAAGCATCTTTTCGGACCATAATGCCATGAAACTGGAAATCAACCAGGAAAAAAAAAACTTGGAAAGTGACAAAGATGTGGAGACTAAACAACATGCTACTGAACAACCAATGGATCATTGAAGAAATTAAAGGAGAAATCAAAAAATATCTGGAGACAAATGAAAATGAAAATACACCATACCAAC